GTTTATAGCCGCACAAAGTAATCTTTAGGCACTTTCTAAGTTGACAGGTGACCTTCATTGACGCCTGAGTATTTCAGCCAGGCCTGTAGCTTTATAAAAAGAGCCCAGATCGTGCGGTGTTATATAACTTTCTTTTGTTCACCAACCTGGCTCAGTGCACTGCCGACCTCCTTTCAATAGGGGCCAGATTAGCGTGCAGCGGTGCTGTGTGGCTCATCCCTGCGGTGGTGGAGCGCTTTATCCCCGGTGGTAATCCGCTCGCTCTCAATGCCCCAAACCCTGGAATACGGTTTCAAAACAAGGCTGGATTATCACCACTTGTGAGAGTGAAAAATGTCGGTAATTCCCAGCAGCCTGGTCTTTTGTTCGGAGTACGGTCTTTTGTTTCAGGGCCCTATTTCCTTTGTCCGAGTTCGGAGACCCCTGCCCCGCATATAAACCATACGTCTCCGATTCCGGAGTCCCCAGCAGGAAGTGGTTAAGCTTATCCCTTTCCTCCTGTCCCCCACCTTAGAATTTATCTGGAGTCAGGAGGAACATCGCAACATGGGAGCTTGGACCTTTGTGGCACCCCGCTTTGAAAATCTGGCAGGATGCAAGGTGAAATATGTGTGATTGCAGTAACATTTGATGCACAACAAAGCAGTGACGCTAGGTAGCACAGGTGTATGAACTTAACTGCCATGCCACTCTTGTGATGAATGTTTCACACAGCAGGAACATACATGTAGTAAACTGTTTCCCTTGTTGGGCAGGGAATAATATAATTGCGTGTTTTGACTTGTGCGTGGATCTTTGCTTGCACACCTGGTAAACAGCAGAAATGTACGGTAGCAACTGGTACGTGATGATGCAGGGACCAGTGAGAATTCACTTGACCATGAATATGTATGAGGTGTGCTAATTACTGCATTTGGTCTCAAACCCAATATTCTGGTATATATTGTCAGCCCGTCATTTCTGGGGCACTATGGCATCCTGGTTTGAAAGCTTGTCAGTCTGACCAATCTATGCCATTCTTGATCCTATCCAGTTACGCTATGCTGGCCGCAGGGTTCTAGGCTGCCCTGCTGTGGGTGTGGCCACTTTGCATCAGGAGGAAGTGAAGCAGATCATGGAGGATACCTTCAGGTAATGTGCTACAGCAGTCATGCTGGAACCAAGCATGCAAGAGAGGATCAACCTGACGGCAATTGCTCTTGGCCCTGCCACATCTGGGGTTTTTAGCTGAAATTCATATGAAATCAAGGAAACAATTCATTTTTTAGTGTATTGTAAGAAAACTGAAATGGTTTTTAACCTGAGAGGATTTAATTTGTGACCCCCTCGGTCAAAATGAGCCTTTTTTCAGTCATTTTATTGAGGTCTCATTAGAAAAGCCAAGCTTAGCTCTGTTTAGATGTATCACTGTTTTGATTGTTTGGCATCCAGATGAAGATGGACAAGTGTGGGTGAAAATGTTGTCTGCCACAGCCTTTTAAAGGCCTCATTGATTAGCTTTTAAGTTGATAGTGTCTCTTGCCACCTGCAACCCAATTTTACTGAGCAGGTCACATTTGAAGTAATGCCAATTTGTAGTGCACCAATCAAATCTGCAAAATCTTAAAATACTGTAAAAATGTTATTGTTTACGCTGTGAAGTATTTTGGGGGATCTTTTACTTTATGGACTTGAAGCTTTGTGTTGAGTAGTTATAGAATGCTTCGGGTGGCCGAGTTTGTCCATTGGCCGACTCACGTATTCAGGCATGATTTTTTTTTAAAAATGGGCAGCTCCGAATACCAGTGAAAGGCTAAGACTACCCCAACATCCCCTAACAACCATCAGCTCAACAAACAAAATGACAAAAGTCTCCCTTAAAAATGGTGTGTGAAGTTGCACTATGCATTTTTTACATGTAATGGATTTTCATTGCCAACAGTCTTGGGAAAATATTTCACCGAGTATTTTTTGCTCTCAATACAGGAAATGAATGAGTTAAAAACAAAAAAAACAGGAATCTGATCGAGATCCAGATTTGTGTAAACCAAGCAGGCCCCCATTTCCGTAAATCCTCTCGTGTTTGCTTTTGACTTCTGTAGTGCATTATATGGCAAGTGTAATCATACATCAGTGGTGGCGTTTAAAAGATTGTTTAAAGGTTTCCATTTCTTTGGGCTTGAATGATGCTTTTGAGGGTTTTAATTTTGAAACTTTTGGTCAGATGTATTTGTTCATGAAAGGAATTGGGTTAGTTCAGAATTATTTGTTCAATTTTACATTATTGAAAGGAATTAACTACATGCTTGGCCAGTCATAAACATTGGTTATGAACGCTGCTAATGGTCTAAGCCACAGGCTAAACTGTCCTTAAGTATGTGTGTTTATGAGACGAATATATAGCATGAACCACTTCGCACCTGTGGCATTTATCAATGTTGACGATACTGGGACGGGATAATTATAATTTTTTTCTGTTTTCAAATTCTTTAAAAATTCCTATCTTCATTTACTGGACACTTAAACCCACACAAAGGACTGTCTGATTTCTACTCTAATCTGACAGCCTACATCTATTGACGCTGGAGTATTTTAGCTAGGCCTGCTGCCTTGTAAAAAGAGCCCAGATTTTGCAGTGTTACGAAATTTTCTTTTGTTCACGAAACTGGCACAGTACGCTGCTGACCTTTTCAATAGGGGCCAGATTAGCATACAGCAGTACTGAGTGGCTCATCAGCACTTTTGTCCCCGGTGGTAATCCACTCACAATGAATGCCCCAAACAGTGGTAAACTGTTTGAATAAAATGCTGGATTTTCTCCAGTATTGACAGTGACAAAATGTTGGTAATTCCCAGGAGCCTGGTCTTTTGTTACAAGGCCCAGTTCCCTTTGTCTGATTTCAGAGATCCGGGCTATGCATATAAAGAATATGTGCCCGAAACCGGGCTCCCGGGCGGCAAGTGGTCAACATGGAGCTACAGTCAAGTAAAAGTGGCTACTTTCCCTGCCACTGGGGGATGACCAGTGATCGCATTACCATCGTCACCAGATTTCACGTACATGTAACAGCACATACATGTATGTTTATCAGTTCTGAAGACAGTGTTTTGGTCCAAAACCAAGATCGAGACCAGAAATTCCACGACTCAGACCGGTAAAATGTGGTCTCGAGACCGGTCACAAGACTTACATCACTGTCTGAAGATGGAATCTGGTTTCTTGTCCAGTGGCACATCCAGGGCTCAATTTTGTGCTAACAGACCCTTCTACATGTATATGTATTTCACTGTAGCACATGCATGCTTGACCCCAGAAGAAAAAGTTGCACGGAGTTGTTTGATTCAAGATGGGTCCTTAGTTGAACAGGGGCACGTTTCCCGAAGTTTTTACTAGGGGTTACTGAGAAGGATTCCACAGCCTCAAAATGAGGCCAAGGAAGCCTAAATTATCATGTACCTTAAAGAAAGTCTATTAAAGTTTAGGCAACATTTCAAGGAAAAGGATTTAATTTAGATGCTGTCTACACAGTGATACACGTGGTTTTTGTGTATAAAATAACCACATTGTTACTATCATGCTGCAAATAATTTCTGCTAGCTTTGGAGCTGCACCTTGCCTTACATGCAAGTCCAGAAATTTCCAAGGAGACGACTATATAATTTTTAGCCACTTGCTGCTATTAAAAATGCAGTGCACACATACGGGAGATTTTCAAGATTTTTAGCTTTCAAAATTCTTCAAAAATTCATTTCATTTTAATGGACATTTACACCCACACGAATGACTGTTCGGTGGCTAGTCTAAGCTGACAGGCAGCCTTCACTGACTCCTGAGTATTTCAGCCAGGCCTGCCGCCCTGTAAAGAGAGCCCAGAATTGTGAGGTATTGTGTAATTTCCTTTGTCCCCATTAAATGCGAGTGGTGTCTTTTCAGATGCAGCTGGATAAGCATGCAGCGGTGCTGTGTCGCTCATCAATGGGGGCCCTGGAGCACTTTTGTCCGTGGTGCTAATCTGTGGGCGCGCTATGCCCCAAAACAGTGGTATACTGTTTAAAAACAGCGACGGATTACCTTCAAAAAATGATGGCAATTCCCAGCAGAAGGTCTTTTGTTCAAAGTACGGTCTTTTATTACATGGACCAGCTCTTTTGTCCCATTTCGGGCACCCCGGCTCTGCATATAAACCCATGGTGCTCAAAACGGGGTTCCCCCGCAGCAAATGGGCCAATTCTGCTGTGGTTACATAAAAATACGTCAACCTAAGGGCTCAGAACAAGCTCTGGAATTTGTACCCAGCGCATGGCTAAGCATGGGGGAGCAACAGAAACTTTATTTGCAATTAACTCTTAAGTTTGTAAAGCTTGCCCCTCAACTGGCCAATTAAACCAAATTTATCCTGGGTGAAGCAGTAAGGGGTCCACCTTCTGAAATACAACTGAATAAATTTCATGGTAGATTAAAAACAAAAATTGTATTACAAAAATGAACAGTTATGTCCTCATTGAACTCTCCATTGTAAGGACGGTCAGTTTTCATGCAATATGTGCTCTGTATATATATACATGTATAAATCTATTTTGTTTTCAATCTTTATTGGACTGTAGCATGTGCATAACAAACATGGTGCGACGAGTGGCTATTAAAATTCTTCAAATATCTGGACACTGACTTGATACAAGAGTGCATCTTTTTTTTCCCGTGTCTTCATTTGGGTACTAAGCAGCACTGACTGTCGTCTCTGAAGACGAACAAGAGCATGAACCTTGTGCTGGATTCTGTTCACTTTCAGTGCCAATGGGTTCTGGAACGATGTCACTCTGACCATGAGTCATCACCTCTGACCTTTGACACTCTCCTGGCTTCCATTAGTGTCTCCAGATGTGTGGATCTGGGAGGAAGGAATATTGTAAAGAATTTTAAGGTTTCAGTAAAAAAAGGAATTTAAAAAAACTGCACACCGTAAAGCAGCTGGCTCAGTGCTAGTGATGCGGCCATTACACGTGATGGTTATAAACTTTGCTGCAGGGGCGAAGCACGCCCTCACTAGCAAAGAAGAGATGGACTGTTCTGTCATTCTATCTGGGCACTGAGCAGAGACGTTCCATTCTAATGTGCCGTCACGTGTCCCATGCCAAACGGATATAAGACTGTGCATGTACTCGGTGGATTCTCACCAAAGGACCATAATTGCCATGTGCAAACATGCCACCTCTTGCTCTTACACTGTTGTGAAATCAAACCCGATCAGAGAGTCCAAAGGACCACCTCAACTTAATTTTTCTTCCCCCAAATGCACCCCCCCTTCAATCCTGAAGACACAAACTCCAGAACTGAACACTTAGTAATTCTGCAGTAAATTCTTATCAATTTGGAAATGAAACAAGCTAGCCATGATTACAAAGGCCAGTAGGCCTACTATAAGCGGGGCTTGGTTTTTTATAATTCTGTTGACACGAATATCCAACAGGTACAACACAAGCACATTTCAGAAAAGTTTCAAATATGTCCTGCCTTTCAGGTCTGAAACTTTTGGTTAAAATCTCCATCTGCTGAACACCATTACATTTTGCTGATATGCATACACAAAAACTTAATTTGCAACCACATAGGGCCTAATGTATGCATCCCCCCTTTCCCATGAAAGCCACGACAGCGGACAGTGCTACTCACAGCTTCGGCAATCTCTGGCCACATCATTGCCTTGACAACAGCATCATTGATGGAAGGAGTCATCTCCAAGTTCCAGTATGTGAACTTGTCAAACTGATGGGTAGCTTGTAATGTTCTGTCCTGAAGAGGAGAGAACAAAACCTTTGACAAACTAAATAATGAGTAAGTTATTCAGGAGTATGTATATATGTACATATACGTATGTCTGGTGTTAAGGGCTTGAATTACTGGTACAACAGTTCAGTTTAATATGAAACCATGAAACGTTTCTTCTCTTAATGTACATTTTAGACAAAGGTATGTCGCAAACCACATATAGACCAGCACAATTCGGTCACTCATGCGCTTCTATGCACTCCCATGCACCCCAAGGGCTTGTGAGAGACCAGAAGGGGGTCCTACATGTAGCTCCCTTGGCCTTGGACCTCAGAAAACAGAACCTTCTAGTCGCTCAGTCTCTCTGGGCACGTAGACTAATGACCTCATATGAAGTCCATGTGTATTAGAGTCCCTCAGTGTGTTCCCTTGCATGTAATCACGGCAGATTGCTCTCAGGTGCCAGAATAGCAGACAATGTGATCGATGGAAATAGCAGACTTTTAATTACGCAGCTCAAGACAGTGTTCCATTACTTTCATTCAGTAAGAAACAATTACATGAACATTAGACAGCTTATTATTTTCCTTAGCCATATCTGCAACTTACTTCTTCTTCCATAAATGGTCTCTGGTTCTCTTTCAGGACAAGACCTTGAAGGAAAAAGACCAAGAAGAAAGTAATAAAAGTCTTGAACAAGAGTACACCTGGTGCATTATCAGAGTTCAAAGGGCAAATAAAAAACACGTTTAAAAGTTATGCATTCGTAGTTGGGCACTTTTCGCTTCACATTTTTGTTGCTGTTTGCCGGAGCTGAAATGGAAACTACAGTAGGTCAGCAGAGTTGCAACATATACCCAACATGGAAGTGCCAGCAGTCTGCTATGTGGAGCTTACTGAACCGCTTTCCATTGGAGGTAGTGCACACATGATCTGGCAAAGGCAGGGCTGAAAGGTTAACACATCCAGCACACCTAAATCCACCTCCAGCTAATGTGTTCTCAACACACGATTCCCCTATTTGTTGCGTACACAAAAAAGTCTGGGTGGACCGTGTGTTAAATTTTGAACTCCATACACGTACAGCAGGTGGGCTCTGGCTGTTGAGATGTACATGTATTACGCTGTGGTAAGAACTATCGTTCACGTACCATTCAAATGACTCTTGTAAATCAGGCTGTATCAAAGTTACCTCCTTTACACTTGCCTTTGTGAAAGTCAAATTGTTTGGGCCAAAAACAATATCCTGCCCGCAAATGGTTGAATTTCAAACACACAATTCTCTGTCTCTACAACTCTCTACATACGTGTAACAATAAAAAAAAAAATGAGTTACATTACCTGTGAATCCTGTTGGAACATTCAACACCTGTCCACACAGTGTCCGCCCTCGAAATGTCGCCGACAAATCTGCATTTATCAAAGAAACTATTTCAGCCTCATTAAGAGCATCTGTAAAGCCCACTTCATTTCAATATTAAAAATATTGCTACTCTTGGAAAAGTTCCTTAAGTCTTTCATAGAAAAAGGTTTAAACGCACTATAAAGAGTTACTATCTGATCATGACCCTCCTTTTCTTTGGTTCTAAAAAATAGTAGCCCACGGGCACCATGTCAAAAATTTTTATCAAACTTGACTTCATGTCTTACTTACTGACCCCACATCCATGGTTGCAATGAGTCATCACTGATTGAGAACAATGAGATCAGATTCAATGTAATCTCCAGGAGGGAATCGGGGTTTGGGTATTTCATGTCAATTTGAGAAGAGTGTACTGGTAGTGTGATGCATTCACTTCCATACTTTAGTTTGCAAGCGAAGAATTCCACTGACAAGACTTTCAACAACAGTCAAAGCCATTTTCAACCCGGAAATATTGCCCTGGTTGGAATGGACGCAGCAGGGTCACTAAATTGAAGTATACAGAAACTCTTTGAAAGTAAATTTAGACCGGGGCATGGGCTTGATGTGTATTATTTCGACTGACTGAAATACATGTAGTTGCAATGAAAACAACAGATATAAATGACCATTTTCCATCAAATAATTATATTGCTATCGCCTACTTTTCAGGGCTTGTTTGACCCCAAAAAGCCCCATGCCACAGGTTATCCTTGTGGGAGAGTTTTGAATTTATACATTAATGTACAATGGCATGTACAATGTAAATAAGGTACAGGTGAATGAATACATGCATGTGCAAGGTGGCACAATTTGTTTTGTGGGTTTTTTGTCCCTGTTACACTCCATTTCTAGGGGTGTGCACCCTGAATGTCAAACGGTTACTTTTCAACATTTGAATATCACAAGGTTACATGTTACATGCCATTTTCGTTTCCTTTTTTGAATATCACAAGGTTACATGTTCAACACTTGCAAGTGGCGTCCGTATATGAAACTCTTTCCAAGCATTTCCTGGGCATGTTGGAAAATAGGCTTTATGGAGGTTTGTGCACAGCTTTTCAAGTGATATGTAGGCATAGATGTACATGCAGACATGGTAGACCCATAAACAGGGCCCGACGTATACTCCTCCGTCATATACCAGTATATGATGGAGGAGTATACGGCGCCCCCCCCCAGTTTTTTGTCACTTTAATCTTGCAAAACTGGGAAGTCCCCATAAAAACAAAGACAACAGCGTGGGGCTTTTTTTCACACACTCGACTTAAGTTCAAGTTACGGTCACGGTAGGCCCTGCTGTTATTTGCGTACTAGGCCCAGACCCTAGTATAATGTAGGCCTACTCGGTGACTTGCCATTTTCGTTTCCTTTTTTGCGGATTACACTGTTGAAGAACTCAGTCACTTTAGCACCCCCTGTGTGTTCTACGTTACAACCTAAAAGATGCACATCTGCAGGTGATGAATCGGCCACAGATTTCTTGCTTAAGAAAAGTGACATCTTTCCACACGTTCCGCTCAGATCGACAAATGCATGACATGTAAATTTCCCGCGGCCGCAAGTGTGAAACTGTGGCACCAAACTGAGCGACTCCCAGACCCAATATCGTGAAAAGATTGTTTCGGTTGGTTTAAGTACCAGTCTGATTTGCGAACAGTACCTAGGCGCCTAGGCGTCTTCAATTTTTTTTCCATCGGGATTTTGTCCTAAGCGCAGCGTTAAAAAACGTGAGACGATGAAGTGCTGGTCATGTATGTAGCGGTATAGGCCGGAACCGAGCAGAGGTTACCGTTTTTCTTATTTTAATCAAAACAACACAATAATATTTAACCGTTGCCATTTTTGTTTGAATTATTTATATTCAAACTAACTCGGGTACATTACTTAATACGACGTCATGAAAGATTTTCTGTAGGCTATTTAAGATTTTCTTAGATACTAGGCCCCCTTCTAAATTATTCCGTCAGTATTACTATTACCATGGAGGTAGAATCACATTCTACCTCCATGCTATTTCTCGTGATTACTAGCCTTCAGAAAGCAAAAACATGTCCAGAAACGTTCAATTTAGGAGAGAAAAAACCAAGTCGTTTACTTGGTAAACACGTAGATTTTTTCAGACCACCCTCGGTTTTGTGCATGAGGTGTCAAGTGGCCTCCGTATAATGAAGTTCCTTCCCAGTTTAGTCGCCATGGAACCTACACGTTTACCTGCAAAACATTAATCTCTTTCGATTTTATTACACAGCCGGAATTTATAGGACATAGGCCTGCGGACGCAAGTAATTATTCCCTACAGTCATGACAGTGGCCTATTAAAGTATTATTGGTCATCAGAAAGCAAAAACATGTCTAGAAAAGTTCAATTTAGGAGAGAAAATATTGAGTCCCTTACTTACCTCCATCATGTCCATGCTTACATGGCTTAGAAAACACTCACTTAGCCTCGACTTTTTCAGAGCGATCTCAAAGGGTTTATGAACGGGATTTCAAATGGCGTCCCCTTATGGAACTCTCTCCAGTACTTCTCTTTTTATGTCAGTGTTACATGTACATTGTAGATTTGGGATAAAAATATTTACAAACCGTAATTTTCAAATTTCATCGTGTTCATCATAACTTCATGTTTTCGTAGGCCCTACTTTCAGGACAACACTAGGCCTAATTGCTTCACTCAATTTTTGGACATTTTACACTGTACATGTACATATCCATTTTGAATTATCTTTATACTCAGCAAGAAGTCTTCTTTTTCAACTCTGACCCTTTTTAAAGATTTTTTAGACAGCAATTGTAAACTTTACCAGCTCAGGTGTTTCGAACGATGTACACACATACGATTTACATAGGGGGTCCTAAAAGCATGAAAATTGTCACTCATGATATATTGTACCTGTTTCCTTTTGTTTCAGTGTTACGTTCTAGTTTCACTGGCTAAGGACTTAGGTGTAATAACTCCAATGTCCGTAAGAAAGTTTTGCTGAAAAGGGATAAAGAATTACTCTCTGCCAGTCTTGCTTCATACTTCGGCCAATTTTTCTGAGTTTGTGTGGCCACTTAGCTCATTTTCGGCATGTCCTTTCCTTTAAATTATGCAGACAAGTCGCGAGTCTTGCCATAGAGTGTGCTTTGACACCAGCAACACGTCATGTCCACCCTGTGGCAGAACCTGCGACGCCGGTTTGACCTCAGCAAACACCCCAAGTGGGGATGGAGGATGTCCGTGCTGTATGGCATGGGGGTCTGGACCATGCTGGGGGTGCTCTGCCTCAAGTGGATGAAGGGGGGAGACGCCATCCAAGCAGCCCACTTTGGAGTGACTACAGAGAATTTCAAAAATTTGTCCCAGGAAGAGAGAGATCAGCTGATAAAGAACAAAAAGATTGCCATTCTTGAAAGTAAATATTACCTTGAACTCTTTCTTTTGAAAAGTTAGCCCAGTATGTGTAGTTCAAAGTTAAAACTAAAAGTTGGATGCCCATGGGTTGTTTGTTTAAGAATAATGGAGTGGTGACTGGACTTATATTCAAAATACTCAATGTCATGCATGTGCAGATTCATGCTCATTTGGCTCAGGGCACACTGAGCCCATGGGACCAATGTCTATTTGAATGCTTGTTCTCTGCATGTACGCTGGGCACCTGCACAAGCCCAGCTGAAAAACTTCCTTCCAGTCCGTCACTTACTGTACATGTATTTGCCAGTGAGGGTGCACTTCAACCAGAGGCAGATTGTAGTGCCAAACTGTGATAATTTCTGTCTTGTACAAAAGAAATTTCCTGTCAGTCTTTTTAGAGTCAACAGGTCAATGAACAAGCAAATTTTTTAATTTTTTTTGGGGGGGGGATGGAGGAACTGGGTGAACTAGAAACATCTAATGCTAAAATTGACTCTGCTTCTCTAAAAACAATTAACTTTTTCACAGTGCACACCATGCTCAAATCCACAGAATAGTCCTGGGATCTGCGAATAACTTTGCTCTGTTGGTCTGTAGGCATTACCCTTGTGTCCTTTTTATATCCCTCCTCAGGACAACAGGAGCTTGCCGAACATGTCGCTGAAAATGTCTACAAGCCTGTGGATTTTATGGGCTGATGAGACGCCTGCTGCCGTATCACGTGACAAATACTCCAGCCGTTTTCTTTCTCACAGAGTTGCAATCTGCAGTCATGGCAGAACACTTGTAGCGGACATACTTTACGTGTACAAGAACTACATCGATTATCAACCCTCTGTTATTCTGTGGTGTTGCGTGGCTCCCAATGGAGGACTCCCCATCAGCTGAAGGCTTCAGAGGTTCACTGAAGATGGTGTTGTCTTCTTGGTGCAATTTGACCCTTGAAATAATCTCACAGGGAGCCACTCTACAAAATGGTCAGAGGCTTAGAGCCCTTCTCTGTTCCTGCCCAGTCTTTTTAAAAGACAGGAATTCGGAATTTCGCTCTAACATGCACTTATCCCACTACTACATGTATGAGCATCGTCCACTCAACATCTCCACATAGCAGTGAAACACGATGATAGTGAAGTCCTTCCCAACTGCTACGTCTGGCCCAAACTGTAGTAGGCACCGATGGTGCAGATGGGTTGTATAACACCACCCTTAGCCGATGACGTCCTTGTGATATCAATGTAAAAAAAAATTTGATGTAAAAATTATAATTCTAGCAATACTGAGTTGTACATACTAGTGGAGATAAAATGCTGGAGCCAATTTCATAGAGCTGCTTAAGCACAAAATTTGCTTAAGCGTGAAAAAAACTTGCTTGATAAATCAAGTAACCAGCCAAAACTCCATGTGATTTATATTGTTCCGGGATTGTATTCAGCTGTTTTGGGGTCAGCATGACAATCAGATAGAGTTTGAGCTGGTAACTTTTGTTTATTAAGCAAATTTTTTTTCCGCTTAAGCAAGTTTTGTGCTTAAGCAGCTCTATGAAATTGGCCCCTAGTTCCTGATGAACTCTGTAGGAGTGTGCCAAGGGAACAACTCTCAACTGCTCCCGTCACTAAAAAAAATCTTTTAAATCCAGCATTTCTGGAGCGATATGTGGAAGATAGTGACTTTGCTTCCAACAGCAGATTGCCTATCCAGATTTTTTTTCGCCCCAAGGTATCCAGATTTTTTTTCACCCCAAGGTATCCAGATTTTCTTTCGCCCCAAGGTATCCAGATTTTTTTTCGCCCCAAGGTATCCAGATTTTTTTTCACCCCAAGGTATCCAGATTTTTTTTCGCCCCAAGGTATCCAGATTTTTTTTCGCCCCAAGGTGTTTGTTATAATTGGAAATTCTGTCCAGCATACTGCCACACTCGCACAAAATGTCTTCAGTCATGTATGGTCCTTTCATTTAGAGTTAACTTTTTGTGTAGGGCTCCCATAGGATTTATTCACATTTTCCAATTGTGGATCCAATTGTCCTCTTTTGTTGAGTGTCCACAGTTTAAATATGGTTTGGATACACACATCAGGCACTACTGGGTGGGTTTACGTGTGTCTCTCCAATTGCCCTTGTAATTTTGTTCAGATTTTCAAAACGCTTGTGACTGCAATATGTAAGATATCGTTCAAAACAAGACATTATTAGGTTTGCTAATAGAGGGATAAGTTAATTTGTTATTTCATGGAAAAAAAACTCATTTGAGGACAAATATGCTTGTGTTGCTTGGACAGAGGATGCAACCAGTGAGTGTAGACATTAACAAATTTCTTATTGTAGACGTTACCTTAACGGGAGGGTGAGCCTGCAGTTGACCTTGTGACAGTGGACAAACGACACTGGAAACAGGTGTTGCTGTTCAGAAGGTAGACGCAAGACTGACTGGTGGCTGGGCAGTACAGAACACCCAGCCATGGGCATGCTTGGGTGATTTGTTTCAAAAGCTCTTGAAACAAAGTTGCGTAATGGTGCAACAAACAACATTACTTTGTGTCTGTTGTCCGCGGCGGACGTACGGAATTACAGCTTAATCTGTTCTCATAATCTCATGTATAACTCTTATGAAATGTTTTGCAGCTTCAAACTAAATCTAGGGGAGTGTGGGTGTGAGAACACTGGCTGAAATGTATTTAGTTATGGGGTCATTAAGTGTGGTTCGCTGAAACATCACTTCACTTTTTATTGACAACATTTTTGTTGACCCAGTTTGATTTGCTGTTAGATACTGCTGATGACATGTTTCCGTGGTATACATGTCTATATGTATATTTTGTCTTGATTCATTGGTGAGTCAAAGTTTTATTTTCCATTGAAAAGTTATGAAATACTAGGATCGACGTGACTGGCATAATAAAAGAATTTGATTTCTTCAAAGTATGTGATTTGTCATATTCCGTGTTTATTTTCACTTTGTACTGGACTGACATGTTTGTAATGCAAGATCTCCAACTCAAGGGCTTCAAACCAGACAGTTCTGCTTTTCTTTTTGTAATTGGAGCCTCCATTTCAGTCATTCTTAATTTTAAGATTACTGTGTGAATGCTTTGATCTGCGCATGAGGAAAAACAAGAATATACATCAACAAAGGTGTATGCCAAGTTACCGGAACGTCAAGACCATCACATGTATGGGGGGCTCTGTCACTTTTGTAAATTGAATCATGCATCTGATAAGTTGGACCAGCAGTATGTACGTGGCATGATAATGTTTAATTTTGAAGGAGGGGAAAGAAATGTGCAGTAATTGGGAATTATGAATTTTAAATGTGAGACGCTGGAGGAAATTGACTACAGTGTGTGGGGATTCCCCAAACCACTATTGTTCAGTTTGGAACATTAGAGGGGACATTGGTGAGGACTGCATAATTCAATGAGAAACGTAATGGCCGCGCCGCCATTTAAGTAGTGATAGTCGGGGGGGGGGGGGGGGTACTCAGGTACCTAGACGCATGCAAGCTTGCGTCTAACATTTTGTAGCTACAAATTAGCCGGGTACCTGACTTCCTTCAGCTGTGCACTGTGATGCTGCTGCGGGTCTTTTTTCGGCTACGTTGCTAATGTTTTATACATTTTACAAGTTACACAACATTCACAAGGGAAGTTGCATAACCCCTGGTCATGACCCTTGTCTGACAAATGCGTGAAAATGTTTTCATCTGTTTCGAGTAAAGGGGTTATCGGACGGATGATGGCTTCACTGCGGGACCGGCTTAGCCGTTTGGCTTCTTCGGCAGATCAGGAGCGCACGGAAGTGGGTGCTGATTTCCTAGCGCTGTCCCAGTGTGTCACTTTCCTGTCGTTGCACGCTTCGTCGGGGGAGAGGTATAATGTGTTTATGTGCAAGATTGACTTAACATTTTAACAAGTAAAAGCTTCTAGTGTTACACTGCCCGTCGTAAGCATAAGTTACTGATGAGCGATAATGAAATGTCATCTGACTTGGCCTAGGCCTACCCCCAGAACCGTGGGGTCCGACGTCTCCTCTCCGTGGGAGAGGAGCGGCCACGGACGTCGGACCCCACAGTTCTGGGGATATCATGTGACATGTCTGATTATCTTTTAAAGTCCATGGTTGAACCATGGAGCTATGATAATACTAGTTGACATTGTAATTTCCAATTTGACATTTTATTTAGCACAGAAGGGCCGATCCAGAACCAGAGAACCAAAGTTTCTTTTCAGACTAGGACAGTAAACTGTTTTCCAAATTGAGATGTTAGAAACATTATTAGAATTTTACAAGCTGTAGGATTTTTCTCGTAACCTTTTTCAGTTTTACTTGTTTTAATCACTTGTCGTGCCTTTTGTTAGGAATGACTGAGTTGGAATTGCTTTAATAGGTACAAACATTTTTTTTTCTTCTGTGGAAATGAAAAAAAACAAATCTGCGTTTGATTACTTTTAAAGAACAAGTGCTTGTTTGGGGTGAGCAGTATGGATCTCGTAAATTCAGTGTCACAATCATAAGGAATATTTGAACCACACATACTTTTACAGCATACAATTTCTGTCATGTCTATGCTGGATTTTAATTTACCTTTTTCTTGCGACGATATATTGGGAGTTACGTATTACATTGGATGAGGGGCACTCCTTTTAAAGGACACCTTAGCATTTTTGTTTTGATATTTTATTGTAGCTCTCCAACCATGTATATAACATTGCCCCCAAATACATGTGTACATGTACAGTATATGAAGTTGGTTCCAGTGGTTTCTTTGGTGGTGTAACTAGTACCACAATTGTTGTTGTATCTTATTTTCTTTAACCCAAATTAATCACGAAATCAGTGGTTTTATTCTAATCAGTCCGTTCTGCAAAAAATGAACAAAGCACAGATATTATTCATAAATACCTGGGGCATTTTTTCTATTCCTATTGGTCAAAACGCGTCACGTGACCGTGTATTAACATTTGATAATGCCCTCTTAGAAGTGATCATGCCCGCTGTGGAAATCACGCAGTAGTGCCTTGATACGAGACAGTTTAATGGGGTCTGATGAATCTGTGTGCACACAACACGCTATGCACGCACCAAGTTTATTGAAGGGATTCTATTGGACAACTTTCAAAAGGAGTACATACCATAAAAAGGACGCGATGTTCAGGAAAATGGAAGTAAAGTTTTAGAACAAAATCATTGGAAATCCATCAAATGTTGAATTCTTTTGACTCTCTGAATAAAAAGGTATTTATGAATGGGAATATCTATCGTTTAAGACCTTGCTGAGGACAGTGAATGCTGATAATGCCAAGGGCGGCTTGGGCATATGTCTTGTCCATTCTCCCGAGCCGGTCTTAAATGTTCAAGTACATATTTATTCCCTTATTAAAATGGGACAAAGTGACGGCAGAGCAAAGTAAAAATTTGCAGTAATATTTGAGGCAAGAAGAATGGGTAAAATTTGAACAAATTGATCGTGTATACTGTACATATGTACATTGAACCTGTTGCATGGACTTTCAATATCTCACAACAGGCTGACTAATGTCCAGGCAGTCCTAGAGACCGTTGAGCAACTCAGCGAGTGCCTGACTCGGATCCACACTACTCATCAGCACCACATCTCAGCCAAGGGAGTCCCAGTCCACTTGTTACCATTCCCCAAAGAAGAAGGCTTAATCTTGTCACTCGCCTGTCAAGTTATGAGCCAGTTGTACGTCGACCAGGCCAACAACTCAAAAGTCTTCCAGAAATCCAAAAAGGTTTGACATTTGATTGTTTCTTTTTCCAAAGGTGTGTGGCCTAGTGGTCAGGGTTTGTACATCTAACTCCTTCATAAAGTGTTACTCCAGCTGCTGGTTGCATTGTGACCATAGACAGGTCACCTTACTCCTTTTTGTCTGCCCCTGCCCACGAGGGATACAAATGGGCACCTGTGGGAATAGAGATACATGTACATGTATGATGGATGTGTTGATAGCTGTTTGCACCTGAAATTGCTGCACTGAGCTGAGCTGCATGCTCCCTTAGAGCTAAGATGGCCAGGTTTAGGGATGTTTATGGACTCAATGAGCAAGGATAAAAATGATGTCATTTGCATCAGTAATGGTGGATGTGGGCTTTATTTATATACCCACTCTTATATTTTAGTGCTGTCTTAGGTTCAAGAGCAGTCTCCATACAAGACGTTCTTGCCATAGTTGTATCATGACCACTGTCACTCCTGTCAGTCAGTTGATATGCTTATGCCTGCCTGGGTGATGGTGCTTTGGATCAAGACAAATTAGAGAATTATTGGCACTAAAATTACCCAGAGACAAACAAGAGGCTAGAATAGGAATAGATAAATATCACAAATATGCCAGTCAGTGTTCTATTTACACCAAGAAATTTATTTATTAGGCATGCTGTGACACTACATGTACCAATCTTTCTTGTTTTTTTGCAGAGTACAGGGTTCCTTCCAGAACATGTCTGATCCTTTTTCTACTTCCCATTAACAGTTTGAGAAGTAAACCACATTCTCTTATTTGTATGTCAGGCCCTTGAGAAACTCATGAGCTTACAGCCGGAAACCAGAAGCCATGTTGAGGAGAGGTTTCGAAAACTGATTGCTATGCCAGCACGTGAGGGAGGAATAAGTGGAGAAGACTTGAACAAAGGTATGATGGGAATATATGTATGAAATCCATGCATTCAGAGACAGGAACCAGCTAAGGAATATACATGTACTGTCATCATAATGGGGGATTTTTAACTAATACAGTGTACTTTTAAAGACGTTTAAAACAGGCTAGTGGGTTGTGGATGGTATTTGGATTGATCACACAACCGTTGCTAGGAGGACCAGCCAGTTTAAAACGTACTAGTTTGAAACCTTTTCATCATCCTTTTGAGCCCCATTCATAAATACCTTGGTAAAAACATTTGTGTGCTTGAACCCTTTGATTTGAGCCTTAATAACCAACCCCCTCCCCTCCAGACAGCTTTGTCAGGAACACCCTCTTGAATCCACCAGAATCCTCAACTATCAGAAGTCCGGTTGCCACACTTCGTGTGGAATACCTTGTGAGGATCACTTGGAAACATCACTGCACAGTGCCAGTGACTTGGATCTAACTTTGTTTTTGTTCATCATGCATGCATGGGCCAGCTTCACAGAGCTGCGTAGGCCAAGTCTGAATCACTTGGCTAGGGCTTGAAATTACACTTGAGTCTATGGGTACGGCTAAAGCCACTATCATAGACTCGTATGTAATTTCAAGCCACAGCCAAGTGATTCAGACGCGGCTTACATGTACATGTAGCTCACAAATCTGCTCAGCACTGAAAACATTTGCTTAGCAAAAATTGTTCAACTGGCAAAAAGTCTTGGTATATTGCCCAAGACTGATACACTGTTAGTTTTTGCGTAGTATATGAATTAGCCAAGCAAGAATTCAATCTCTACAGCATTGATAATTTCAAGGTTTAATATAATTTGGATCCTGCTTTTTTTACGGCATGTATTGACATATTATAGGTTTTTCACTTTGCTGTTAATTTTGTTCTTTTTGAAAATGAATTTTACTTTGTCTGTCTTTTTTTCTCCCAGTCTCTTGTCTGCTGGAGTCCAGTGATCTTGTCAGAGGATTCCTGGAAAGTAATTTCCATCAAATCCTTTCCTGCATTGCCCAAACTCTGAACTTTGAGATCAAGACACACAGCAGGCCAGACACCGGCTGTGTTCAGCCCAGCCGGGCACCAGCTATGGATGCAAGCTACCAAGCAGCTAAGGTGATGATTGGGAGATCTTTGATTGGGTCTTATGACTTGTTTCAAACTACAGATAGTCAGGTCGACATCCACAATAAGGCAAATAGTCTGGAGGTGTTCTGTGGTTATTCATTTGTAACCCAGTCAGCAAATAGATCCAAAGTTACTTGTATATGTATATGGCGTGGTTGGTAAAACCACTTTCTTGCATCATAGCCACACAATGCTGAATGGAGAACAGAACCTTAATGTGAGGAAACTCTGTTATACATGTACACATATGTGTTATTATTGATGTGGCAGCCCTTTTTTAACCCAAGAATGACTAAGCTTTCCTGAGGCCAGTAACTATGTATTCATAGCAGTTGTCTTGTTTTTGTTTGGTTTTATTTTCTTCATTTTTAGCCCTTTTCGTGCTGTACCGTAGCAGATTTTCATTTGTTTGTTTGAATAATGTGATCCAGAGATACATGAAACTACTGATTATGATCAGCTTTGTTTGAATCCAAAAATGTTTCTTTTTTCTTCAGGATGATTGGTCTTTCTTTGAATTGATTCCTGAAAACATTACCTTAAGGTCTCTGTGCCGTCCACTTTATCAATGGCAGATTTATTCTCCGTTGAAGTGTCAGATTTAACACCAGTTTTTTCACAGTGCTTTGTTTTCTAATTTCAGGTGTTTCTGCAGATGTGCCAGCATGGACAAGAACTACTACGACCGTTGCTATGGGAACCAGGAAGGAATAATCGTCCTCCGAGCAATGAATGCCATTATGACCTCCATCAGATCATCTCAGGCTTAATAACACTCTTGGAGAGCCAGGTAAGAATAAAGAAAACATGCAGTCCTTGTTATTTTTGAGGCCATCCAATAATATTTCAAGAGTTTGAACAGTATCCTGAATTCAGTGGAATTCATATTGAATTCTGGTTTTCTCTTTGAAGTTGTAAAATGGTTTCATTATTTGCCAAGATACTGAAATCAACTGAACCATTGTGCATGTATCGGATCAGTCTTCCTTTTGTCAGTCAAAATTTTTTTTACCTCAGTTGTTAAGATTAAGGGAGTCCTGATGTTTCGATGTTATCAGGGAAAGTACTGAGAGATAAAAACGTCAGACCCTCTCAACTTTTACTGTATCAACATTCAGTCAGTATGCAGCTTTCAGCATATGCTACTTCTCAAATTCAAACTTTTCATAAAACGGTAGGCCTACTCCTAATATCATTTTGTGTCGCGACTCCTCAGCGGTTTTCCAAAGATTGCGGCCTCCTGGCTGGCAGTGCCCTGGCCATGATGATGAATTCAGCACCTCAGCCAAGACAAGCTGCAGAGGCAGTGGCAAATCTCCTGACCAGATACTCCTCCAAACAAAGTAATAAGAAAAGTTTACTCACTTGTTAGGTACAGTTCAGTCCCTTCTCTGGTTAAAGTACTGAATGAGAACTGCTTGTAACTTTCTTACTGTAGATTGTGTGTCCTATTGTAAATGTTTATATTTGTAATAGTGACATTTTAAAGAACTTGGTATTGTTTAAAATTTTTTGAATTTTTCTAACTAGCGGTTTTTTCTGAGTAAATTCTTTCGTTCAGATGTTTTTTCAATTATTGGTTTTTTTACGAGTGTAAACTTGCCCACAATTCAGCCTCTGGGCTGCGACGAGAGAGTTAAAAGAAACCACAATAATAAAATATTCCATGCAGTAGGCCTACATGTCGTAATGCTGTGTACCATAAGACAGACTAAACTACATTGTGGTTGAGCCAAAGGCATGTACCTAAGGTAGCTGCCAAGTGCCTCACATCTGCCCACAGAGCATAGCCAGTCTCCATTACTGTAGAGAACGGAAAGTAAGCAGACTCGGAGAATGACAACACTGAAAAAGTCTACCCACTTATTCATATTAGGAGTTTTCCCTTCATCAACACATATTTGTAACACTTTACACTCGGTGCTGTCAGACGGCTCTTGAGAAATTCACAAGCTTGCTCGGGTGTGACTCCAACCCACAACCTCCTTCCTACAAGCGTAAAGGTCTTCCCACTTGACCATGTGATTCTTGATACATGTGATTCGTCAAAGGGCAAAACTCCTAGTACGAGAACAGGGATGTTGAAACACCTCTCTGATGTCTAATGACTGCCCAAAGTGAAATAGTTCCACAAAAATTTTCTTCCTATGTATACAGCCACTAATGTTTCCCTACTCTTTCAAAGTTACAATTAGCAGAAAGCACAAAGACTTTGTTCCACCTACATGTACTCATAGACTGGGTTCAAGTGACACTTATGTAAGTATTCTGTACAGTTCCTGTAGGCAGAGGAAGCTCAAACGAGGTGCAGATAGGAACATTCGTGAAGGACGCTGTACCTTTGGTGCCCCTTCCCTCTACAACATTTGCCAGACTTGCTATCACCAGAGGTGTCCTGGCATGCTGCAGCAAGGCCATACTCCTACAGGATGTGTGGGCAAACCAAGAGGTATGTAGGATCATTCAGTGGTGTTGGGATCTGTGCAAGGATGGGGCAACCGTGCCTTCCTATGTCACAAGAGCCATAGGAAATTCAGTTCGTTTTGTGGAAAAATGACCACTGGTGTGTTTCCTTACTGTATCTCCAAGTGTTTGCAGTAGGGTCAGGAGACATTATCAATATTACTTGACTATTCAATATCAGTTTGACATAGACATTCCATGCTAATATATCAGATTTTGAATCATGTATTATTGAAAAAATCTCATTACCCAGAATGACATTGAAAATGTGGAAAAGGTATCAGATTTAAAAAAGAAAAATTCCTCTTACCTGCGGGTATCATCTGCTGCATAATAAAAATAAAGTTCAGTTCCAATGAGAACGGTGCTTTTGCAAGTTAGTTAAATTTGAATAAATCTGGTTCACTGAGTTCTTTAACTTCACATGAACATAACAATTGAAATGCTCCATACTAAAAACACTGTTGCTATACCGTGTGATTCAGGGCAAGCTTTTGCTTAGTTACATAAGAGACACCATACACTAATACATGTACATTGTCAATGGATAAGAAGGGCACAAAGGAACCAGTCCATTCCTGATAAAGTGGTGGCTATGCAAAAGCTTGCCCCGAATCACGAGGTATTACTGTGTCTTTAGTCTGGGGAATTCAAATTGCTATATTTCGGTGTAATCAGATAACTCAGTGTACCAGATTCTATTCAATTTAACTAGCCAAAGGCTTATTGGGAATCCTCCTGCTGTTCCTTCTTCATGCCTCCATAGGATAGTGTTATTTGTGCATACAAACTGACTTGGGAGTTGTGTGTTCCTGAATAGAAATGCCATAAACTGCCGCTGGGCAAAGAGCATTCCATAAAGGAGAGTTCCGCTTCCAAGAGGAGCATCCCACCTTTTGAAATCTTCCTTGTGAAACATTCCGGCAACTCATGGTTGCATTGTTTGTTTATTTTCTTCTTTCAGCGTCAGGTTCTTTGCACCGATGTGCTCTTCGCTGTAGTATGTGACCTGTGCGAGAAGGCAGACGGGGAGTTGAAATATCACGCCAGCGAAGGTACCAAGCACTATCAGTCACCTTTTCAAGTTGCTTTTATTGTAGGCCTGTGTCAGGTACCCACCACAGGCCTAAAGGCCAAGACATCCACTTTCTCGTATTCATTGGACAACTTGGCTTTTCTCAAAAAAATAAAATATTGAGTGTGTCAGAATGTTTAAAAAATACCTTGAATTAACGGTATTACCAAAGGATTCATTTTTTTTGTAATTTTGAGGGTGTCGGGGTACCTGTTCACAGGAACGTCACCTGGCTTCCGTAATACCCGTAATTGCACAGGCCTTTTTTGTTCTGGGAAACATTTTGGGAAAGTTTTCGTCGTCCTTGCACATTTGAATACTGTGCTTACGAATTTGTGCACAGTCCAACATGGTTACACTTGACACCTTTTGAAAATCAGGAAAACAAGAAGCACTTGATAGATGAAACATGTGGAAAAGTAGTGTTTGTCCTATTTGAAAATGAGTAACAGGTGTGCTGTTACATAGAAAATTGTCCAAGACAAGATCACATTTGCATGTTGTTTGCAACATAACATTGTTAAGATGTGAATGACAAAAAAATTTTGCATTCTTTGGCAAACCTACAATTGTATAGACTTGTCAGATGCTTGCCTTCTAAATTAAGCATTGATGAATATTACACTGGTTTCGCACAGTACTCTTATTACCCGGGTAAATAATTACCCAAGTACTTGTCCACACCCAGGTAAAAATAACTCGGAGAATTGGTTTCACACTACACGCTTCACCCCGCAATTCATCCTACCCACTTTGGTGCGTACCCGGGTTAGTAATCGACAGCTTTCACGCACCGAGCGCGATCGCAAATGTAAACCCGGAGAATAGCATCACTTGACCTATGCCTTCCCACAATCCTTTGCGCTCAGTCACTTGACATAGCCAACATGGCTTCCGACGTGTTAGCTTTCAATGTGCTGCTTTACACGTACACATAATCCTTGTGGTCAAGACTGGCGCCCTGTAATTTATTGTGCGGCAAACAAACAAAAATACAAGTTACCAAATGGACGTAAACCCGCTGCAACAAGGTACCAGCTACGGAAGATAGTAAAGTCATTGCAGCCCAGTAAGCGCATTGAAAAATGGCACCATGCTGTGAAGTTTTTTCCTACGCATGCAGAGAGCACGCAGACAGCTTGACGAACCATGGGCGAGCATACCCGGGTTGGACTATTAGGCGAGCGTTCACACATCCAAGGGCAACCCGGAGAATCGTCTCAAGGCCGCCGTTCAACCCCGAGATTGGTTGGTTAACCCATCTCCGGAGCAGGGTTAGAAATTACCCGGGTTAAGTGGGGTTTTGAGGCAGTTAACCCGGAGAATTTCTAACCCCAAAAAGTGTTGTGTGAATGCTCCAAGAGACCCAGGTAATCTCGGGGTTAATTTTTTCGTTAATCCCGAGATTACCCAGGTAAGGGCACTGTGTGAAACCGGTACTATTGATGCATTAAACACAAAATATTGGAGGAAATAACACATATTTAATTTTCTCTGTTTTCCAGTTTATTGCGTTCTTAAAAGAAATTACCTGTAATTTAGAGCCATGCACTTAAGCAAAGAAAACGTGTGAGCCACTATATCCAGGGCAAAAATCTGTCATAATTTATTTTCACAATTTATCATTTATAAAATTATTTTCACTTGTGACTTCATATCATGATCATTTTTTTACCCGTGGCTTTGAAATATTGCTTCATTTAATTTATTTGCTAATTTGATGGTTTTTGATATTGTTTCAATTTTTTATTTTTTTATCTGCAGCCTTGAAACTCTACCTTCAAGCAATGAAGCATCTCCTGCCAACTCTCTGCAAGGACTCCCTCCGGCTTTTTGGCCCAGATGCTGCCCACACGCAGAGCGTCCTGCGGCTAGTCTGGCTGGAGTGGCAGAGTCCAGTGGACGGAGTGACAGAAATGATGCGGTCAGCGCTGTCCACCCTGCTGGACTTACATCATCGGGAGAACAAGAAGCAAGGAGTCACAGACTCTCAGGTGCGTGCTTCAAAAGAAGAAGTCAGACACCTGTTTCCTAGATTAAGCAGGAGAAAAGCAGGTCCTTGTTTGCTTTGCCATATGAACATATGTGTGAATGAAGATAAAGTAAAGCGCAAGTTAAGTATTTCCAGTTGACACAGTTTTACATAACTATATCAACCACAAAAAAGTCAAGACACAGTGACTTTCTTTGCACATGATGTCAATGTAACATAGAGATCAGTGATTCCTTCCTTGATGAGCTGGGTTGGATTTCTTGTCCTTCTGTTTCACCAGTTGGTGGACTCCATTGCCAGCTCTCTACTGGGCACGGCGTGGCACATCAAGGGACGGTACCTCCTCCTGTCCAGTCTGGTACCCCACTCCGGTGCCACACGCCTCCTGGCAGCCCGGCCCAGCCTGCCCAGAGAGCTCCTGCGCTGCTTGGCGACCAATCACTTGGCCGCTGCTGCTACTGAGCTGCACAGCACCCTGGTGCGGAAACTGAGGGAGGAAGGCGTGGCTGGTGGGCACAGCCATGGAGATTGGGAGGAGGAGAGACAGGCCGAGGCATGGGGGAGTGTGTGGAAGGACGTCATGCTGGAGGGACTGTGCAGCAAAGACAGGTGAGGTTTGGCTCAAACTACAACCCTTGTTGCCGCAGCACATTTTCACAACCACCTTCTGTTCACATTTCAAATGAGTATCATTGAAACGAGATAATGAACATGATGAAGGACCGTTATGAAGGATGGGAAAATTCACAGCCCGCGTTAAAGCATTTAATACACATTGGAATAAATAGCGTCTTCAAGTACACGATATAAATTAATTCTTCACTGTTATTCTGCTGAATCAGGATGTAGGAGAAAAGTTTCCTATCCAGGGATCACCATTGGAACAAAGTGGAAAATATGGAACCACCTGGTTCAGAGTTGCTCAGAGTCTGAAATATCTTCTTTTTTTGAGAGAGTGAGAGAGAGTTTTCTATTTCAAAATGTTTTAGAATGTCCAGGCTAGAATATGGAAAGGTTGAAGGCAGCAGGTACTTTTTTCACTGTTGCTTTATAAGATCGCCAAAAGCAAAGGTGTTTCATGTGCTTTGTAAACAGCAGCATCTTGAAGCTTAATAAAATTGAATGGGGAGTTGAACAAATGCATAGTTGTAGCAGAATGGTGCAGCTTTCAGTTAATGTGCGACTGTCAGCACTGAAATGAATATATCACTTATCCTTGTCAGAAACCTACATATATGATCTCTTCAAGGAGACGTCCATGTTGATAAAGCAGTAGGCTCAGGTACTAACTGTCAACCAGTCAACAGCGTTCGCACATGTGTGTACATGTATATTTTTGTTCATTGGTTGGAGGGTCTAACTACACCTGTGCAAAGATGCTAAAGATTGTTGATTTCTTGCCACACTTTCAACTTTCCTGTTGCTGTGTTGCAGTTTGATCAGATACCACACGGCCAAGTACTGGCTACCATCAGCCCTCAAGAGCTTCCCTGGTTGCTTCAGTGTCCTGATGGATAGCTTGGCCAGAGGATCGCCAAGTCAGCCGCAGCAAGCACAAGTGGATGACTTGGGCATCCGCAACCTGCACACATGTGTCATCCTGCTGAAATATGCCCGGATAAGCAGCCTGCTGAGTTCTGATTGGCTAGTGAGTTTGCATAAATGACACAAATTTGTGTCTACTTTCTTTGAGATAAACTAAGAAGGAATAAACTTAAAGTAAAGGGTGTTTAAGGTGGAATCACTTCGGAAACATCAGCCATTAACAAGAGAATTAAGCACTCTGCCAACTGGTGATCATACGTACATGTACATACAAGTCATACATATATGTATATCAGTTGGCTGAGGGGTGGGTCCAGTATCATGTATGCATTCTGTTGACCAGTCACATGATTATTCTGGACCAATAAAACTCAGTATTCAAGCCAGACGTACATGTAGATGTTATTGCCGACCGGCATCATTTTTCATAGTTACCTCTTCTGATGGGAGTTTGTCAATCCTAAAAAAAGCAATCAAGCTTCTTTTTTGATATACTCACCTCAGGACAAGTACAAAGACATCATCTCAGCAGGACTCTGGCACTCAGAGGACAACATCCAAGCTGACGCCTTCGCGCTCCTGTGCTGCTCCCCCAAGAAATCGGAGCTCCCCTCTGAGGCCGAGACAGGCTTGCTGCGGGAGACTCTCCCCCACTTCCTGAATTCCGATTCAGCCGCATTCCGCAACCAACTGCGGCACAATGTGAACATGTTCGTGACCAGGCTGTGCGACGGCAGTCTCGCCCTGTTGAAACGACTCACAAAGCTCGTTGCTGAAACAGAGGAGAGCGATCTCTCTCAGAAGATGGGCGAGGCACACGTGAGCGAGAGGAAAACCAAAGGATCCTCTTCACATGTTGGCAATGGACTCACTGAAACTGAGAGTGCACAACTATCCCTTCTAAAGGAAAGACTCCTCCAGGCAGTGGACTGCCTAGATTGGCTAATAGAAATGTGTTTTGGGTCTCTATTCCCGGGAGCCTGCTATCAACGCAAGCGAGCAGCCTTGGACATTCTGGCCGTTGTATTCGAAAGTTTGTTGTCTGCAGACAAGCAGCAAAACACTAAAGGTACACGGGCAGGGTTTTTTGCTCTGGTTAACTTTTAAGGGATGCATAGTACGGAATTCTGTTTGGAGGATGTAAATGGTATTGACTACTTTTGTACAGTGTTTCAGGCTGTAGCTTCATTTCTCAATTAACCCTCCTTTGGTTTTACAGCACAAATGTGAATGAGTGCCCACGGTCACTCTCTTGCATGTGTTTTCTATACGGAACACAAACATGCACAGGTTCAGTGTGTACACAGTTGGTTGCCAGCACAAAATGACCCAGGGTCTTCGGTGCAGTCCTCTTCATTGCTTTTGGTTTACTGCACAATCATGCACATGAAACAGTGAAGCACAGTTGTTGGGCAGCACAAAAGTGCAATCTGATATTCCTGTGAGGGACAGCTGATGCAGTGCACAACATGACACAGCTGTGGTTCTTTGAGGTATTTACCAAGTGACCCAAAGAGTGACTTCAGCATAGGAGGGTTAAGAAGCTGTTTTCCAATTTAGTTTGAATGATGCCAAGAATCTCTTACTTTCAAATTACATTGTACACTTACATAATCACTTTACAAGAGACACCAGGGTCCTATATACTCTTCAGGAATGGCCCTAAGAGCTTAGAGCATTGTAAAGAACCAGGCTATCGGTGCAAAGCTTGGTTGACATGCAATAAAAGGACGTGAGTCTCCTGTTTTGTTTGGGTTTGTTGGGTCTTCTGTACCAGAGACAGATTTCCTGTTGTCGTTATACAGTACATGAGATACATGGACATGTAGTACCAGGGCTTTTAACATTATTTTCAAATACCGAGGAGACCTTGATGGCTTTGCTAACCTTGCACAACTGCTTCAAATCATTGCTGGAAAGTGAAGGATCAATTTCATCTGTTTAAATGGATTAGCAACAAGGCACGTGAAATGTTCTGATTTTTTTCCCTTTGCCTTGCACAGTTTTAATGACATGGGCTTTGGATCACGGAAAATGCAACTTGCTCTCTGAAAGGTAAGCACCACACAGTGGTTGCTATTCAGATAATGAGTACCTTCTTAGGCCGTCAATGTGTTTGCATTGATGATTATGGTATAGACCATGTTTTGTAGGCTACCCAATGTCTTCATTAGTTTGCCTGATAAAGTTGGTGGGAGCTCTTGTGCTTACCTCTGCTAAACAGAGACTTGACAAATCTGCCAGTTCATCTTTCACCTGTAGACGAATCCATGTTGATGCCTTGAGCAGGATATCTAGCCAATATATCCACTCTTTGCAGGAACTAGAGACAACATACAGTACTTTCACACAATTTTTTCAGTAGAGAAAGTTCTAAAATATTTCCAACCACAACGATGACCTCTTCCCATGTCATCTTTGTAGGAACGCCTCCCTCCTTCTGGAGTGCATCCAGGACAGCTCCAATGACCTCAGGTCATCGTCCTACCACCTGCTGGCCACCTTCTACCCAGCACCCCTCCCTTCCTCCTCGGCCTACCCCTACACCTCCTCCTCCCAAGTCCTATGCACGGCGTTGCAGTTGGTATCCAGCCCCAAGGTACAGGAGAGTGAGGCTGGAGCATTGCTTACCAAGCTGATATTCTACAAGTGGGTTGCCGGACGTTTTGGCCGTTTATTTTTGTCTTATCGTGTCTCGTCTTATCTCAGCTGATATTTTTTTGTCTGGTGTTGTCCCAGAGTCCCTTTCAACTCTGGACATCTCGCTGCATGTCGCTTTGTGGTTAAAACGGCAAGCAAAATCAGTGATCACACAAAATCAATATCTGCAAGAAGTTATCTCAACATAGCCGTGTAGATAAGGGAACGTTTCATAATTACTGAAGGCAGTATTTACTGCGGTACCGCTGTATTTTTGCGGTACCAGCATTAAGCCCTTTAGGGTAACTAGTGCGGTGCCGCTAAAAAAAACAGCGGTACCGCAGTAAGTACCACCTTCAACAATCATGAAACGCTCCCTAACAGGCTGTATAACTTTTTTTTCTAGCTAATTACATTTAGTTTGCTACCCTTCACTGCGGACTTCACCTTGTAAACCCAGCGTTGGTTTAAGCCACACGTGTTTGCCTTCAGAGTTCAATAGGAACAGAAATGAAATGATCGGTGGTACCTCATGAACTCTGTACATCTGTTTGTAGCTGCAGTGGAATTTTTGTTGTCAAAGTAATACCTTCCAGTCCATTGATGGCAACCTTTTTTTGCAGGTTACATTTTTGCTGGTGTCAATTTGTTTTAGCAAAGAACTCCAGCTTAATGCATGAATTTGCACTTCAAAAGATCAGCATAAAGATATCTTGGCATTTCCCAAAGTCAGTTTTTCAATACCATTTTTGTTTTTATTAGTTTTGGATGATTTTGTTTTGGTGGTAGCACGTCTTTGGTCATGATGTTTGTTTGAACTGTTTTTTATGCGGACGAAATAAAACATTTCTGAAATTAAGAGATGATTCTTACCCTCTTTTTTTAACAGACACTCGGTTGTCAAGAGCCTCAAGAAACTGGACGGCGACATGAGTTCCCCACCTGGTTCACCTGTCAAATCCAACAGCCCCTCCACCGAGAATGGAACAGTCCATTTTGTGGAGTCTCTCTTGACGAGCCTCGCCTTCCAGCTCAAGTGCTGCAAGCGGAACCTGCTGCAGGCTGCCTCGGTCACGCCCATGCATGGTGGGTGGGCCGCAGTTGGATGGGGCTGTTAATAAGCAGATCAAATTTGCTGAGCATTTAAGATAACTATTTATTAATTCAGAAATAGCTTTGAGAGGTCAGCCATTCCCGTTGGTCAAGAGCTCATCACACAGCTGGGCATAAATGGTTGACAAATTGTTGGTTGGCTGTGTGCTTTCTCACATAGTACGCACCACCATACCCCAATATCCATATCAAAACTTGTTTACGCCTACTTGTGAGAGGAATATACCATAACATGGCTAGAAGGTGTTCGAAAAGAATGGAGTAAAATTGTCAAACAAAATTGTTGGTAATTCATAATTTTTGAAACCTGTTTTGAATTTGTGAGTTCAGAGGTAGTTATGAATGGGCAATTTGGCTTTGGCAATTATCAGCGGCTGTTCTCCTGGTCCGGTCTTAGACTGGACAAGCACGTATTCATTCCCCTATCACATACCAACCAGAGTGGCATCTGGTGCTTAGGACTACGCCTAATATTGCAGTGAATATAGCTTGTGGAAATTGAGCATTGCCCCATACAACCCTGTTTTATTTCCACTCACAGCCAGGTAATTTTGGACTCAAACTGTACCCCAGTCTATAATGTGCTACTGCTGTCTGTGTCCAGGTCTGATCCGTGCCATCCGTAGGTGTGTGACTGAGCAGCCGACCATGCTGGGACCCATCTTTGCCTCAGACCCTGCAAACTGGTCAGCCCTCATGGAGAAACTCCTGGCCATCGTCCAAGACATCACTGGCTTCATCCTGCTCATCCTGTCGGGCCGGGACAGGTTGTCACCCTCCCTGGAGGTACAGGAGGAGAAGGAAGGGCAGGGCAAGGCGTCCACGATGATGGCGCCTTCGTTTGGCCAGATGGGAGAGGCCATCGAACGTCTGATAGCGGACTTGGCAGCCTACAGGACAGGGGAGGAGGAGGCTGGAGAAGGAGGCAATGAGGAGATGCTGGGGCTGTCGGAGGAACATCAGCTGATCCTTGCCTGCTGCTGGCTCAATCTCAAGGTAATAACATCAAATAAATATCTTCGAAAGTGATAAGATATTCAAGGCACAGTCCTGAGAGCACTGAAGCCTTTTAAACAGCTATTTGAGAAGATGGGAGCATCGCCCAGACCTACCGGTAAGGGAAACCCCTGCAATGATATTCTGATTAATTTGATTCAGGCATTGTATAGAACAAACAAAGCAAAGAATGATTCCATTCGGTGACAGTGAGCCAGTGCAGTATTTCAACAGAGCATGCTCAGTACAAGGCTATTCGCAAAGAGCTACACACACCTGTGATAGTCGGTCCTATCAGTCCAGCCATTCACTGACTCACACGTGCGAAAACTTAGCACCATCTGTCTTCTTTTGCCGGTGAGGGTGCACTTCAGCTCATGCAGAGCAGATAGCCTGACATACCGGTATATGTTTACTTCACAGGAGTGTAGCTTACTCTTAGGAGGTTTGGCTGAAGCCCTGCCAATGTGCAGTGAGGGCGACCCGGGCATATTGACCTTTGACCAGGTGACCATGATGGCCAATATCTTGGTAGCCATTCTGACCAGGTGTCGGCACAAGGTAACAATGAGAACCCTAGTGGAACAGCCACACTGACTGGTGAATCAAGTGGCTACATTCTGAGCGTGATATCCCTACTTCGGAAGTTCTTTCCATGACCACTGCACATCCAAAGTTGCATTACGCTTGTCCACGAGTCTTCAATCAAAATTGGAATCTTTAATCAAAAACAAGACCGTCCAAGTAAAAAGACTCGAAAAAAAACAAGATACATGTATGTATGTGGGACAAAGATGAGGCAAAAGGGCCAAAATGTTGAATACTTTCCTTGCAATTTGATGGATACTTCAAAATAAAATGAAGTTGGGGAGCACAAGTCCAAATGGCTGTCTTGCAATTAAAGCCTGCCATTACATAAATTTCTTTAGTGTATTTTCTCTTTAAAAGCATCTGTTCCTTAAAAGTCTTAATCATTGACAGCTATAACTTTTGGGGTTGAATAAGTTTTTTCATAGTTTTTTCCACAATCCAAAGCTTCGTATGTGCCCTTTCAAAGTGGCAGCACCAAGTACCCCTGGGGATGCATATGCATGCAATCTGTGGTCTGAGAAAAAGTGTTGTTCGGAAAACAGTGCTCCCTTTCTTGTTTATGAAGATTGCCAACAGTGTAATATGGCTCACCTCTAAATATTGTAGTGTGGATTTCAGTGATGGTGACAGAGAATTTTAATGCTGCCCTGTGGTTGTAGAGGGCGGGGTTTATATACATCATAACAGAATTCGAGTTAGGTTTCCTTGATGGTGCATATTAGTTTTTTTCCTACTCACCTTTAGGGTGCTATTGATGGCTGCAACCAGGGCTTTGCTAGGCTGTGCTCTCGCCTCCTGGCCAGTCCCTGTCCAGAGCTGCAGGCCATACCCAAGACCCTGCTTGACCGGGTCCTGGCGCTGGTTACCGACGAAGGAGCTGGTTCCTCCTTCACCAAGAAGAGTGCAGGGCTCCCTCTGCTGGTGGAATCTATCGTCAGTGCCGAGCCACGGGGACGAGAGGTATGTTTTTGGAAGTGGCTTGTTGGGGTCTACTTGTTGGTCTCTGTACTATGTCTGAACGTTGAGCTGACGGGTCTTATCACTTGTGTCCATAAGCATGCTGCATTGCTCCTTTTTTCCACGTCGAAAATCTAGAACCTTTAACCCCTTCGCAACGGATGACGGTAAGAGCCGCCGTAAAAATTGAGATCCTCAGCCTGCTTTTCAGCTGTTATTATCGGCCATGCTCGAGGAAACATGGTGAAAGAAGGCAGACTTTGGCTCTTGTATATATGGTGATTGGCCGTGGTGTGTAGCCCAGAAATGGAAATACGGAATTTTCATCATAATCACTAGTTTTTTACAGTAGTCCCCACTTTCACGGTGTAATTCAAAGCGTGCAGAGCACGCAGGGCCACAAACCGAGAATTCGCGGTTTGGCAGGTGGCCTTCGTGGCCAAGCGAGGCTGGAATTCTCGCGGTCGGCTTTCAGAAAAAAGTTCCCGTCGTCAAGGGGTTAAGACCAGACTTAATTTTTGTGTGCTTGGCAGAGTTTGTAAAGAATGGGATGTTTCTTTCAAAATAAAGGAAAATGTTTCTTTGCACCATCCCATTGCTGCCAACCAGTGTTTTTTTTGTTTCAAAAGTTACTGGAAAGGTGTCAGCACCTAGTACAGTTTTAAGCAGTCTCAGTCATGCATTTTGACCGGTACTTGGCTACATATCTTGAAGACTGACAATGGCCCAGGGCAAACTGTACATTGGTGCAGTGCACATTCCATTGGAAAATGTTCTGTCACATCTGTCATGCCTTCCGCAGCAGTCTATGGCCCCCCTCGTTTTGCATGCACGTATGCACCGTCAGTAAATAGCCCTCCACTTGCTCATGATCACGTTTGATCATACAGTTGTTATATTAGCAAATTATCTAGGCATTCACTGGGTATGAAAGAAAAACTGAGCAGATTTAGAAGGCCAGAGGTTGACGTTAAAGGAACCTTTAAGATTTCTACCACAGTTGTCACTTTTCACCATGAACATTGCTGAGAGAGTGTTCTGGAATGTAAGCCTGCCAGTCAGGGGTAATAAAAGGCAGCCTAATATGATTGCTGTCATCAGAGACCACTGCTGGCCTACGTCATGACTAAGCTGATGGCCCTAGCCAACGAGCCCCTACCATCCAACCCCAACGACAGGCTGGACTTGCCACAGGCCCACGCCCTCAACGTCATGATGGCGCTCTTCCGCTGCTCGGCGGTGGGCACCGACATGATGAAGCACTGCCCCGGGGCAGTGGAGATGGCCATCAGCGGGTTTGCGTCGCCCTGCTGGATGATCAGGAATTGCTCCATGAGACTATTTGGTGAGATTTTGAATTTGAAGGGTGGATTATCGTTTTGCTCTCAATGTTTCAGTTAGTAATTGTAATCTGGCTTATATCACAAGTTTGTGGCTGAGTATCTCAGAATGAGATACAGTCACAGGTGCTTAATCAGTTTGCAGCAGAGTTTGTGTTAACATAATTTGGCAGTCTTCGTATCCAGGGACAGAATTTCATGGACAATTTTGTGTTAGTATGAAGTTACAGTTTATGTAAAATGTTTGTTATATATGGTAGACCTATGGGATGTCGAGTCAGCATTCTCTGCATTGATTAGCCCCAATGTCACTTCATACATCCTGTGAATTACTTGATATCAAGCTTTTACAAAATAAGCCACTTTCTGTTTTCACTGAAACTGCAGACTAAGACATGTTTTTTGTGTTGGCCTTGAGTTAATCTAGTGAGAAGATCCCAGAGGTCCAGTTCTTGAACTACCAGGCTTGATTTGATTCTGGAATAAGTTGGAAAATTTTTTTAATGCAGTGAAGCCGGAGAATAAGGTTTTATAGAAGACCATCAGTGGCCGAGATAAAACACATTGGGATGAATCTAACCCTATATTTTGTTTTATTCAAACTCAGGTGCTCTTGTTGCTCGCATGTTCGGACAGAAGAAAGTACAGGATGAACACTCGCAGATCAACACCATGTCCGCAATCACCTTCTTCACCCGCTACCCGGCTCTTCAGCACTTCCTCCTCAAGGAGCTGAGAAAGTTTAAATTAGGAGAAGAGCTGAAGGGTAGTGAAGATGAAGACGACACAAAAGCTGGAGGGAGACTGAGTGGAGGGGATGAGATGGAAAGCAGCTCAGTGGAGTGGAGACAGGGACAGGATGCAGTGGTGGGCAGTTCTGGTGAGGCCGGCCAAGGCATGGCGGGAGATGGAGTTGGCCAGAGGGGCGGGCTGGTTGGAGCAGGAGGAGGTAGGAGAGATGAGGGAAGACTGTTTCTCCATCCCAGTCTCCATCCAGTGCTCACCTTACTGTCCAAACTGGGGCCAGGGGTTGGCAACAGTGACACTCAGTAAGTATCAAAGCGTGTCTGCTTATCATTTAGTGTCTTACTTTCCTAAGAAACAAACACTGTATTAACCATATGCTGCCGGGTCTAAATTGAAGTTGCATGACGAGTTCCCCGGGGATTTTCAAGATTTTCCATTTTCAAAATTCTTCAAAAATTCATAACTTCATTTACCGGACGTTGACACCCACACGAATGACTGTCTGGAGGTTATTCTAATCTGACAGGCAACATCTATTGATGCCCATGTATTTCATCCAGGCCTGCCGCCTTGTAAAGAGAGCCCAGATTGTGCGGTGTTGCATAATGTTCTTTTGTTCCCGAAACTGGCCTAGTGTGCTGCTTGCACATTTTCAAATGCGGCCAGATTAGCATGCAGCGATATTGTATTGCTCATCGCTGGAGCGGTTTTGTCCCCAGTGATAATCCTCTCACACTGAATGCCAAAAATAGTGGTATACTGTTTCAAAACAACTACGGATAACATCCGCTATTGACAAATGAAAAAATGTTGGCAATTCCCAGCAGCCTGGTCTTCGTACCAAGTACGGTCTTTTGTACAAGGCCTCGCTCTATTTTCCGATTTTGGGCACCCCGACTATGTCTACAAGATCTCTGGTACCAGGCACCCCAATGGTTAAAGGAATGTGCTATTTCCATACATGTACTATGTTGCAACCTACAACTGCTAGAATGGTTGTGTTAACCCTAACAGCTTTAGTTTCTGATGTAGTTTTACAACAAATATTGTATTGCTTTTTACCTTCTTCAAGAATTCTTCTTTCCAATGAGTGTCTTGTCTTTTGGCACTAAAATGTCTCCAAAATGCCTGGCACTTTCTATTAAAACTTTGCCATAAAATGTGTGATAAATATACACCTCGCCCATTTCTACAATTGGACATCTGACAGTTTTAGACCATTTAAAGGACATAACAAGTTACCTAACAAATTGTCCAGCCCCCCAATAAAAGATTGATGTGACGGTTCACAGGTCATTGTGGGAATTTGTTGAACCTGTGAAACAGCTGGCCGGCAGTGCAATATGCGCTGTGCGTGAACTGGCAGCCCGCTCTCTGGTTCCCCTCATACGGCAACATGATGTGCCACAGGAGATAGTCGGAATCATTGACCAGTTGCCTGGCATTGCCGAGTCTGCGCGAGATTGCAATCGTCTTCACGGAGAATTGCTGCAGGTGGAGAAGTTGTTCCAGGCAGCCCTGCAGAACGAAAGGTGGTGAACCTCTTCCATAATGTAATCAAATAATGACAGCTACATTTGGAGGGCTTATTAACTACATTTTCTTGCAAATGATATCTTGTCTTGTAGCAAAATAGGACACAAAAAATGTATGTTTATCAGTGCAGTGGTACGAACAATTTCATGGGATAGCAGGTGAAATGTTCCCTTCCACAAGGTGGAGCCTCTTCTTGGGCAGCATCTGCATTTCAGTATGTGTGTCATCCTCATAACCAGGTGAAAAATATGTGCGTATGTTGAGATAGTTGTATACTGTTCAGAAAGGTCTGCATCAGCAATGGTATTATTCAGTGCGCCCTCATTTATGTGTAGTTAGTTCTACAGTTGGTCATTTCCAGCATCAACAGAAAAATTGTAGGTGAATACCAATCAACAGTAAGCATTTTTACTCTAAATCATTCTGGCCAAAAAACATGGGTTGGATTTCACCTTGATACAGGCAAATTTAAGAGACTTGGAAGGTCAAGCTAAGCGCAGAGTTGTTTCTTATGCACGTCTGTCTCGGCTGTCTCTCAGTATTCAACAGGAAGACCTGGTCGGAATCCAAGCCAAGCTGGGTGACAGAACATGGATAGCGGGGCACAGCAACCCCTGTGCGCCTGTCAGAGCTCTGTTTGTCAACGTGGCACTGGCGGTGCTTGCTGAGTGCCACCGAGTTTGTCCAGATTCAGGGGCCATGACGCTTGCAGTGGAAATGAGGAGAATTCTGAGGGCATATTTTGAGGGTACTCCTTCACCGTTTCAGGTCTGTTCGTTGTTCTGTTTGAAACCACAGTCTCAAGATTTAGTCATGATTAATCCTTATATTTGTAAGGATCTCAGAATCAATGCTGTATCAGAAAATCCCAATCCAAACTTTAGGTTGAATTTTTAAAAGACTTTTTGTGTGTGAGAACTGTAATCATTTTGTAATAAAGTATGTTAACATGCCTTGTTTTTGTCTGTTTTCATTCCTCGATGTAGATTGGTGTAGCCACACTCAATAAAGCCATGTCAACTGCCTACCTCAGACTGATCAAAATGACCCCTGATTCTTTGACACCTGACTTGCTGACCTCCGTCCAGGCTCTTCTGACCTCTCAAGACCCAGATGTGAAATTAGCCACCCTGGGCTACCTGCAGTCTAGCCTGACAGGCGTGCTGCGATGCTGCAACACCGCAAGTATTCAGTCGCTCCAGCAAAGGATGGTGGACTTGCTAACGTGTCCACAGCAAGACAGTAGCTGTCTGGAGAGGTCCATTGCACTTTGGGTGGAGTTAGGACAAGGAGCGCAGGGTTCTCAAACCCAGCCATCCTGTGATTGGGAGTGTCTCTGGAATGCACTGAGGGGATTGGTGGAGGGCCAAAGGGGGAGTGGTCTAGTTGCAGCGTCATTGCCTGCTATTGGTCAGATGTTGCAATGGAACCACATTAAAGACAGGTACTGCTTACGTGGCTATTTGAAGGCCTCGTTTGAACTATGTATCCTGGGTGCATGTTGTCATTTGTCTCACAGTTTTTGTATTAACAAGGACTCATAATCCCACCAGTTTACCAGTAACTTTATTGCCTGTGGCTACAATGTACATGTATATAGTGGAACAGTGATGGATCGATTATTCTCGGAACCAAAAACTGTAGAGATATTGTGGGAAAAGTCACCTGCACTGAGATTCTGTCCTTGTCAATTTTAGGTCTCCTTTAATATGCACGTTTGTTTTCACTTCATGTACTTATTTGAGATTGAGAGTGTATAACTTTGAGACGATTTACCTCCCTACAGTCAGTGGGTTCTAGGTTCAGTCGGGCTTGCCTGTTTTATTTGAGAAGTAAACGAACAAAAAACAATTACAAATTCTAAAATTTGTGCATGTTATTCCTATCAAAGGATTCCAGAAGCACGCCATCAGGGGTCAACTTTCAGATTCTATGTGCAGGCTACATAGCAAAGTACACATAATTACAGCATTAGTCATTGTATCAATACAATGAAACCATCTTCTTCCAGATTTCCTATAACGTTTATGCTATTTTTGCACTGACTGCCTTTTTTTTTAAACCAGTTGGACACATATTGATGCCTGGTGCAGCTGGATGGTTAAATACAGCCATCCCACGCAAAGCGAGACTATACGATTGGCTGCCGGCCAGTCAATGAAAATAGCTGCACCTGCAGTGTGGAGCCAGATAGCAGAGCAGCTCAGCGAGGATAGGATAGACATAGCATTGGAGTGAGTCACTTCAACTTGGATTCCATTTTTGTTGCTTTGAAATTGTAAGTCAGTAAGTCAGTGTGCGCTGTGTGGTCTTAACGTAGTGCAGAAGACTGACAGAGAAGAATGGTCACTGAAAACCACATGCCTGAGGCTTGGCCAGCAGTCTCGTACATTCTCCTAAGCTTGTTTTAAACATTTCTTGAAGACCGACCAAGCACATATTTATTTCCCATTCATAACTGCTTCATAACTATGAGTCAGAAAGTCAAAAAAGAGTTTAAAAATTACAAATTTCCAATGATTTTGTTCTCGAGTTTTACGTCATTTTTTTTATACCCATGTAAAAAAAAAATGGTATGTGCCTGTCGTGAGTAGTTGGCGCACCCATGATGTGTACTCTGTGAGATGGTGCAGCACACAATGAGTTAGCCAGTGTGCTTTATCACTCGTTAAAGACTGGCCACATGATGGGCTCTCATCCGTGGTTATGAATTGTGGTTTTTGTACCATGGTTTCTTAGTTCTGCATGGTTATTAGTGTTTTCCCAGAATCTGTGTGATAATTTAAGCGAATGAAAGCCATCACTAAACAGCAATGAGTCCAGTATTTTTCACTCAACAGAACAAATTTTTTCAAGGATTGTAGTTTTAAAAAATCCCTTTAACAACCTTTTACAAACTGCAATTTCATAACGTCCGTTTTCTGCAACCACGGCAACAAAGGAACAAGTTCTATAGATGTATGTGAACCTGCTTAACATCACTAACAAGTGATTCTAGCCCTTTTCTTAGAGGGCGGAGATTACAATCGAAATGGAAGATACGTGTACCACATAATGCAGTTGTGGTTAAAATGCACAAACGCTGCCACTGAAAGTGTTTCATTACAACTGTGAAACTTTGTCTCTTCCTTGCAACCATTCCTGTTCTTTTATCCTGAATTTACAGGTTTGTGGAATAAAGTGGATGAACAGGGCTAATCAGTCACAGAAAAAGAAAAGTTGCCTTTTTGGTACCTAAAGTAACATAAAAAAATCTTGCCAATTGTAATTAAAAACACTTCCATATTGATGTCTGTAAACCTTCAAGCACACCAGCATAGTAGACGTGTTACTCTGTCTGTTCTGAGTGTATCGTTTTCCTACCCCAGTTTGATGGTAGTACTGCTCCGTCTCTTACAAGATGAACTCCAAGATGTTCGACTGGAGGCTGCAGAGGTCGTGTCGCTGCGGTTACCAAGAGAGTCAGTCTGTCCTCAGCATAGGCATCTGCACTGCAATGCTGCTCAGGGGGTCAGCGAGAAACCTGTTCCTTCCTTTTTTATTTCCCTGTGTGGCACACGTGTGAGCAGGAGACATGGAATTGCAACTAAATGTACATGCAGCACCCCGGCCTCTCGATTTCATGAGTCAATTTTGGCCCTCAGAATTCCTTCCGTGGACAATCACACAAAAACTGCACTCTCACAAAATAAGGAGGGCTTGGCGTTTCGATCCTGGCAGAATCTTTCCCGAAACATCAGGCCCTCCCTACTTTGTGATTTGTATTTTAGGTCGCTGTAGTCGATAAGCAGTTTGCAGCAGTTTTTTATTACATACACACTGCACACGTTGAGAATAGGGAAGAGAGAACTGTTTCGTTCTCCTTTTGAACAATTTTTCCAAATGTTATCATTTCGTTGGGAACATGTTTTATAGCTTGCAAGAGCACTGTCCAGAATAGCGTTTCACTGTATTTGATCTATGCACTGTTTCCCAGTGACAAGGTGAATCCAGTGTCCATCAGCAAGCCATTTCATGAACGTAGTCATGGCAGTCAGGTGTCAATTTCATCAAACTCCCTGTGTCAAGGAAATGCAGAGTTTGCTGAGCAATTACGCTAGTGTGCTTTCAAGCTCCATGGAAGTGTTCCCTGTCGGTTCAGTAGCCTAGCTGGGTGTGTTTCAAACACTTTATTCTTCAAACTCACAGGCAATTAATGCTGAATTCAGTTTTGTGTAAACGGATGCTATTGCTCGCCCCATACAAAGTGTTTTGGGGTTTTAATTTTGAGAAGTGTCGCTACAGAAATTCTCGGTCATTTGAAGAGTGCCTCTAAACTTGGATACATGTGGCCCTGTGATTGTTAACTTTCTGCAGGTGCTTCTTGGCTACCTGTGCCAAGCATTTTCCTGGTCTCCAAAATTCATGACATCGGTTGTCTGCTTGCTTCACGGATCGGTGGATGTGCTGGAGACAACTGAACAGCTGGCATCTGGGTATGTTATAATGACACGCACTAACCGATTTTTGCCAAGTACTGGGATTAATCGTCGTCCATCTGCAATACACTGTCATCCATCTTTTTCTGTGTAGACCGGCGTGTATCTGGGAGGTATTTCTTCTAACATTTTGCCTCTACAGCTCAAAACTCCAGGCTGTGCAGATGTTCCCTCAAAGTGTATGAGATCTGTCTACAAAGAACAGAGTATTTAACACCAGCTTAGCTTTTGCACAGTCATACTGGTATTCTCATTAACGTGGGTGATTGTACAAATGTCTGCTTTGACACCATTCAGTGCCTCAGTGATCCCACATGTTCTGGCTGTTTGTTGCTCTAGCTGCATGTATTTTGTGTCATAAGGGTTAAGATTCTGTACATCTTTTGTGTGTTTCTTAATGTGAGCCAGCGTAGCATACATGTAGTGTGGACTTCCACTCAAAGGAAGTCCTCATATTGTAGGGTAAGAAGACACTTTGTTGACTTGCACAAGTCCGCACAGTGTTTTCCCCTCTCTAAAAACTACTTCAGAGGTATTGTGGAGTCTGAGTTTCCATTGCGAAATGACGACAAGGTTGCCGGTGGAAAACAGTTGTTGGGGCTTTTGGGGGTTAGGGTTAATATCTGAAGAAGGACGAGGAACAGTTAAGCCATCAGCAAAATTTCAAGTTTAAAAAGAATGTTTGCAGTTCAAGAAAATTGGTATTTTCACTCAGTTTTCTGAACTGCATGAAAACAATAGAAGGTACATAAATGTAGGCAGGTGGGTAGGGACTCATTTGTTTCTGTGTGGATGCACACATGTACATTTTGTGCTTCTGGTCGATGGGCGTATCCCTGTTGAGCACAACATTACAAAAATTCAGTTTTCTTCTTTAAAGCAAATTACTTTGGAACGATTTCAACTATTGTCATTTTTATGGGAAGGAATGCTTTTTTATATTTTCCAGTGGCTCTCATCTCTTCGGACAGGAAAGCGCCAACATTTATGCTGAGGGCATCATGGAGGCAAAACTTCTGTATCAAGCAATCATGGTGAGTATGTTTGTGACCCACTTTGTGAAAAAGTCACATGTCACCAGAGCCATCCTAATCATGCAAAGCTCTGATGTTTTTTATAGCATTTTTGTTTGATCAGATCGAGCTCCGGCACCGTTCTAACATACATACTATTGGTGGTGGGCATGATACGTGATCTTCGACTCACCAGCCAGATGACAGGAATTGATACAGGTTTTGTACAAACTTATTTATGCTGCTTTTTTTTTCCCCTGACCTGTTTGACAGCACACAGTGGAGAGGGAGCAAGCAGCACACCCGGACGGTTTCCAGACCTGGCTTTGTGGCTGGTACGAGGGGGTGCCTCAGCTGCTGGATGCCCACGAAGACCTGGTCAACACACAGCAAATCCTGGAAACATACACGGCACTAGGTGGGCTGATTATAACAACTTGCAAAGTCGTTGTGCCAAAGTGAAATATTTCTTCTGGATTCGTTTGTCAAGAGCTTGCTTGAAAGTGTCCGTACTGGTACCTTGTTTTGTAGTGAAAGTTTGCTATTGGAAGACTTAATCATAATACTGACCAGATCCTTCAAAAGAGTCTCAGGGCCGTCTGGTCTGGGTAATATTGTTTTAGCTGGCATGAGAAAAGCCAAACTGAGCTTTCCCTTTTGGTGCATGCCATCCTGATGAGAAATAATAGACATTATGTGGGTGAGAAATATCACAGTTACCTGTTGAGCGGAAGTAGGGGCTAAATGGCCCCCTACCCATGTTCCCCAGTGCCTTCGTGAGCAACAGGAGCAAAGTGCTCTCTGTAAACTTGATACTGAAGGAAAAAAGAGAGGGAGTTTATGTTCCACTGTGCTGAAGAATGTGAACATGGATTGGAGTCCAGTAACAGGGAATGGCCTGGTTGGGTTCTACTCCTCAAGCAGTGTCATGTTTCAGTGGAGGAGATAATTAGACAGCAATGGATTCAGTTGGTTATGTTGTAGGGGGATAAATCCCAAATAACCCCCCCTCATCATTGAACCTTCAGAGAGGACTCTGAACAAATTGTTCAAAAAGGCATCTGCCTGTTGGCGTCCATTTCAATACGCCGCTGACACAGGTTTGCTGGTCTTTTTTCACTGCAGGGGGAACATTCTGCGGTGTGTCCAGCCACAGCAAACCCTATCAAGCCATCTACAGGCAACTGCTCTACGTCAGGCTCCTCTGCTCAGTAGCCAAGGGACTTGAAGTAGACGAGATCACTTCAGGAGCGATGAGCGAACTTCAGGAGACCGTGAAGCATATGGCCGAGGTAGTTGTCTCGCTGTCATCAATCACACGAGACCAACTCTTGCAAAAGTGGGAGAATCATTTTGACAAATCGTGTGTGGTTATAGAACAAGCACATAAATGATTGCTTTTGTTATAAGACCAATTTAGGATTAATATTCCATGTAGCCTCTATAACACTATTGAGGGAAAGTCAATAAGCATGCTTTGAAAATCAACTTTGACAATCTTCACAAACTGTTTGGAGCATGTATTGTTTTCCCAGATATTAAATACATGTAATGTAGAAAATTAAAAGTAGTCCTAAATTTTGGACTTTTTAGCCTGCTGCATTTGTAATGGAATCTTCACAGTAAGAAACCTTTAAAAAAGTTGGAGTGGAATAGTTGACTGGTTGAAGTCAATATTTATTGCCTTTATGTGTAATTGGTATTTTTTATCTTAGGTCTGCATTGTCATTTGATTTTGCAGATGCCCTCAGTTCATCCATGCCTGAAGACTGAACTCTCCTCCCTCCACGAGTTTCTCACAGAATGAAAGCGACAACTTAACCCCAACTTGGCTGTGATCAGAGAGACCAAGATATTTCCCACCTACCAACATCTATGACTTCAGTTGTTCACTTTGAAAGAATACAAAACTAGCAGGCTAGCCCCTGTCCATCAAAAAAATTGCAAAGCATACATTTCTCTAACATGTAGCATTTATAAGTGAAAGCAATTAAAAATAGACTTGTACACTTGTTGGAAAGACAAATGATGCATTGCTTCATTTAGTCTCTCACCCTTTACTCTTGCAGCACTTACAGGGCTGTACTGACGAATGGTTGAATATTTTAACATTCAATCACAAATATTCAGATATATATTCTCAAAATCCAATATTCGGCGTGTAAAAATCAATGAACTAACAAGGAAATATGCAATTATTTATTTAAGAAAATTGGATTTGTTAAGGCAGCTGAAGTGTATGCCCAACAAAAAAAGCAAGAAAATGACCGTCCAGCATTCCTTTTTTTCGTGTCTTTTTTTTGTGGGGGGTGGTCTTTTTGGGGGGCTACTTTTTGTGGTGCTTGGTCTGACTTGCTCCAAAGGCCATAAAACACTAACCAGGTTATGGGCACCTGTGCTAAAGCTCAGCGAGACAGGTAACCACATAAACATGCGTATTATGTTTCCAATCTTGTATAACCAAATATTCCAACATTTGATCAAATGGAAGGTGGAAATTTGAATGTTCAATTATTCAAATTGGCTCAGCTTAAAAACTTAGGAAGTCTTGAGCTGTATGTATCACATATTCGACTTCATAAAATGATACTTTTTGCATGGTATTGACCTCATCATGTGGCAGCCATCATGCTTTTATACAATTCATGTGTAACCAAGTCTGTTCTCTTCTATGTTATATCACTGTTGCCAATAGGTCTACAGGGAACAAGACAAACATGGCAGCATCCTGAAAAAGGTCTGTAGCCGTCATGGTCGTCAATCGAAAGAAGCTGGAAACAGTGGCAAACTTGGGGGAAATTACAGAAGGGGCATCTGGGGGTTCACACATTTTGTCCAAGGGGACACTGAAATAAATTGACTGGGGTTTGTACATAGACTTTAGTACATTTCCAAATTTCGGGGGGGGGGGGGGTTTACCCCCGGGGCACAGACTTCCACTGGTGGGCATGCCCCCGTACTCCCTCCCCCATCATTTACACCACTGGTTGGGACAGAGATTCTAATTTCTTCCTTAATTTCACCTCTCAGCTCCTCAGATGTGCTTGCCTTTGGCAACTTTAATTCATCCCTCCCCTAGCAACAACTTATTCCCGTGGCACTTTTTTGTAACTTTGCTTGAACATCAGGTTTTCATTTATCAAAGCTTAGGTATGAATTTCACTCATTCATTAAAGTTTTTAAATAAATTTATGACACTTATGTAAACATGCACAACATCATTTTAAAATAAATTTTCTTCAGAGGATGCAACATTGAAAAGACAATCTTTTTATTGTACATTTTAACTTTATGTAATAAAAATACGAATGGTGTTATCAATAATTAAAAAAACTAGATATTTTGGGACACTTCAATTCTACCGTTAGTGCAATAAGGGAAGGACATCGGCCTTGGTGGAATTTTATTTCCTGCATTTGTCACCACAAATTTGTTGCAAATACATTGAATATTTGTATGAGAGCCCTAGCTTTATGAATTCATTTTACTTGAAGATTTTTATGTTATTTTAGGTACCGAGAAGGCAATAATATCACGTTAGTGCTGTTCATGGCATAACGGGTGAAAGGATATTACAAATGGAATTTAACCAGATCCCAGGTCATCTTTGATGTCTTTTTTCCGGTTATGGTAATAAAATTACTTTTATGGGACAGAAGTTGGAGACCTCTGTGTTCTAGCAATAGCTGGATTTTGTTTTCCTACCTTTTGATGGTGGATGACAAGGGCGGAACGGGGGAGGGTCGAAGCCATTTTTTAATAAGGAAGGGCAATTGTTGGGACTTTGTCCTTTCTCTTACTTTCAAAAGTATGTCAGAATCCAGCTTTATCCCTCTTGCCATCAAAAGTTGCTTGCAAAAGTTGATTCAAATTTTTATGGCTCACCGAAAACGTCCAGTTTATACCCCCACGCCGTAAACCTGTCCTTGGTGGCCGATTGTTGTGCACGATGTGCATGATCGCTTACGTTGAACAAGGATCTGTGCATGTTTACCACTACACAAGTGTATGTCCATGAATAGGAGGCCCGTGTTATAGTGTCGACTGTGAATTTTCTACCGTCAAATTACCAAAGTATACTATGTTTCAGACAGCACAATAATTCTGAAACCTTTTTCCTTTGGTAAATGTATGTTCCGTTTCGTGGTTCCTCAGAAGTAAACTGTTCTAAGGTGACGGCAACTAAAGTGTCAGGCAATGGACAGGGGCGGATCTATAGCTTTCACTTCACGAAACGCGGGAGTTGATGTGCGCACTGTAGCCTTTGAAGGGATGCCCTGTTAATAAAGCGTATCACGCACTGTTCCCTGATGAAAAGATAACTTCACTGCAGATGGAAATGGACGGCGCAATTCTCGTCCAGGATTTTTATTCTCTTTTTTACTCATTTCCCGTCATTTCACTCGTAGTTCCTTTTAATCCGCGGCAGAACGGGGGGTTGCAACCCCCAACCCCCCTCTAGATCCGCCTCTGCAGAGTGCTACAAAAATTGGAATTTATGTAGGCGTGGAGCAAATTTTGTCACGGTTAGCTTGATATGATGTAGGAAGGGGGACATAGAGCCAAACAGAAAGGTCTGCGCATCCGCGGGGGGGGGCACACGGTCAAAAATACTATGCAAATAATTGACGAGAAGGGAGGATGTCGGGAATTAAGTTTATTTGAAGGATATATCCCTGAACAACCCCCTTTTTTATTACGCCATCATGCAGAACGTATAAGGCGTGAGATTTGAATTTGGAACTTTTTACAGATAATACAGGGCTTTTCTGTCTTGTGTTTCATTATTTGTTGTCAACTTAGCGAGTGTCTTCCTCAATTTCCGATTGCATGCAGTGCTTCTGTTTTCCTACCTGCATGAATTAATTCGCCTACCTTAGAAAATTATTTGAAATAATTTTCATGCGATCAAACTAATTATTTAGTTGTAATGTATGAACTGGGAACAGTATTTTTTTCATTAATATTTGCCAAAAAATTGAGTGGTTGACGTTGCTGAGCGTGCATGCACGGGATCAGGCGAAGGTAGTTGGCCTTGAATCAAATATACCTGGTTATTTCGCATACATACAGTTTGTGTGTACATGTACTGTACATGTACATGCGTCTGGGTAGACTATCGCCCAATAATCCTGTAAACGTACATGCGATTATCAGACAGGGTCAATAAACCCCTAACACTAGCACAGATATAGAACTCTATATAACACAAGGTCACCGAACGTCCAACCATGTGCTCCACACGGCGCTCAGCGTAAACCAGGAAGTAACACGAGTATATGTACTGTACGTACGGCCCCCGCAGTCAGCTGACTGCGGTCAGCAGCAGCTGGCAGACTAAAACGATCAATGTAGGACAAATGAAAAACCCGTTCAAAAGACGCGGGGTACCTCACGTGTTCGCTTGCGTAAGTCCATTTCTCAAAGAGGTACGCGGAATTCTGGCTTTTCTAACAAAGAATGGATCATGTTGCCTTGTCTTTGAGATCAAACGGTTATTTGCCATCTTTTCCAACTGTACTTCTTTTACTATCTCACTCCTTGCCAGCTCGATTCAATCCATCGCAGAAACTGGTCGAGTAAGCATACCGTCATTTGGTGTAAGGTAGCGTGGCCGAGCGGTCTAAGGCGCTGGTTTTAGGCACCAGTCATTTCGATGGCGTGGGTTCGAATCCCACCGCTGCCAATTTTTTTCCTAATGTTTTCTCTGATTTGCCTGTGAATTTTAGAAATTAAAGATACCAGAATCGACAAAAGTATTCGGTACCTTTTATTTTGGGGGGTAGGTTCGAATGCCACAAGTTTAACGCAGCCACTGATCGTATGATCAGTGACTGCAAAATTGGGTCAATTGTGGCTCAGAATTTCAACTGAAACCTGATAAGCGCAATATTGAGGCATACTTCATCAAAACGCGACTTTTGCTCATTGCATCTCGTTATATCATCATTTTAATGCTTATAACGTCTATGGCTATCGATATACATGTACATGTATGTGGATAGCAGTTATTGTCATCGTAGACGTTGATCTGGAGTCAAACAGTTTTCATTTCTTGCTTTGTTGTTGTTATTGTTGTTGTTGTCAGTTTTCTTGTCTTGTATACTTCACCGGTCGCACAACCACGTAGGCCTACAAGTTAGACCTGATAATCTCCATGTTCGTATAATGGAATCATTTTTATCATAAATGAAATAGGAAATAAGCAGTCATGTGATAGAACCTTCTTGTGAAATTGTACATACCTTCAGGTTCAAGTTAGACAAAGAGGCCTATAATTTTATGGGCATCAATTAATAGTAAGTTTAAGTTGAAATCATTTGTTTTCCTTTCGCACAAATAAATGATAGCAAATTTGAATGACTATGAATAATTAAACTGGATTATACTGGATTGAAAATCGAATGTTACTAGCAAATATTATTGGTCGGAGTGTACAACTCAGTGTGGCTCCAAATGTGGCATTTAAATTTCGTGGCAGATTCCTCAGTAGCCTATGTTATTTATTGGGTTTTTTAAAGACAGAAACAAAGACTAAAATACAAAATAAAATCACAGGAAAACGTAAACGAAAACAGAATTCATTCCCCATCATGGCTCGTCCATGTTTGCACAGTTTTAAGCAACTATTGGTTGCATTTTATAGGACGCGGCTCTAACTATGTTTAGAGCCAAGTTAAACTTCAATGATCATAGCTTTACACGGTGGACATGAACTGTTTGGTTCTCAGAAGAACCAGTTGTTTCAAACCTCATGATGACGAACATGAGACTTGAAACAGCTGACTCTTCTAAGAACTTACAACGAAACATTCCACAGTATTATTACAGCAGTGATTCCATAGGGTAATTATGGTTGCATACCTTGTAATTGACGGACAGACAAAAAGAGAAAAACGGGCAAAACGTCGTTAAAAGTATGTACATTTTTCCTAAAATACAAATGGAAATCGCACGTCATAGGTGAATCGGGTCTATTACCATGATATTGTCAGGTAGTGTGAATCTAGTTCAGTATTTTTTAAAAATGAAAAAAGACAAAAACTTGGCAGCGGTGGGATTCGAACCCACGCCATCGAAATGACTGGTGCCTTAAACCAGCGCCTTAGACCGCTCGGCCACGCTACCTCATACTTCATACTTGAACAGATTTCATTTTCGTTCGCAATCTATTGAGGCTGGGCCTATATATGCACACTTTGATCCGACCTTTGCACGCGTGCTCGCAAAAGCATTTATTTCTGCAACAACATTTCCTGACTTTAACCTTACAGTAAGCATGCGTAATTCTCATGAACTTTCAATCCTCACGAACGTTATCCTCTAACAGGTAGCTCCTAGAGAGAGAATTGTAATTTAACCATGGTCAAATTACTGTCATAACTTTACAGTGCTGTAGAACAGACGTATCGGTGCTACAACGTGAGTATATCACACTGAATTATTATTACATGTTTTTAATTTGTGGGGGGGGGCACTCGTGGTGCACACATCTCTTAAAGGTTAAGTGGGTAGGACCAAAAGCCCATGAACTGCGGCTTGTGTAGGTGGTGTAAATATCAAAATGTTAAATGACCGGGGGCACGAGCCTTCAAAAGCCTGAGGAGTTACGCCACTGGTTCACCATGTCGGCCTATATAGACCCGTATGTAAATCATGAGTTATTTAACTGAGATCAACTTGTATATACGCGAAGCAGTTTTTGCAAAAGTGTACGGATAACTAACTATCTGTTTATAAAACTAAACACCCGAATGTCAGCAACTGTTAAGGTATAATTAATGAACTGAAAGATTTCATTAAGTATGAGTCCATTAACGGCAAGTGGTACTTCCGTCGAGGGCCCGTATATCCTTGATGCGGCCAATGCAGACCACTTCAACTCTTGGATCTGGATTCATTTCAGTTTTATGCGAACATTATTATTGCACAAAACGAAAGTATGGAAATTGGAATAAGATCGTATGTACAGTCGTTTCCAAGGTGGAAAGGGGGCTACCCCCCCCCCCGAATGATTTCAGTGTTGCTTGTAAAATCAAAGGGAGAGAATGGCGTGTTTTGAAACGAAGTGTATTTCATTGCCTCCCCAAACTTTGTAACACACCGAAAAAGAAACACCCATCCCAGAAAGACGGTAAAAGTTACACTGTTGAATGCGTGTTGCCCCCTCCCCCAAAAAGGGAATAAACCCTCTCCCCACGGCAGTCAAAATTAAGCAGCGGGAGTGTGAGCACCACTTACTGTAGCCAAGACTCGAGGTCTTAGTCAACGCGCTTTTTTTTATTAGCATGGCGTTGTTTCGTGTAAGTCCCAAGATTTCATACATGTACTCTTCTATGCTAATTGTAACCTTTGTGTTGTCTACATAGCACCGATGCATGTGACCTTAGATACCTCGCACTCTCAGTAGCCTGAGTTACTTTGCATAGTGTTTCTATGGCGAAGGATTATGGGGCGATCTTTTACACGTGCACTGATGAAGACGAGCGAAGAATGGAGTGTGACGACCTAAATCCGTCTCAACTTAGATTACCTTATTAATGCTAAACGAAAGCCTGAGCGAATGTAAGGCAACCTGGATCAAACAACTCCGAAAGCCAAACTGTGTCATTTTCACCTCCAAGATCTGTTCGTTGGAGAAACCGTTTTCTTAAATACATTCAC